TGCAATCTTTTCTTTCTCCCAAGATAATAGATACCCCATCACAATGTGGGTGGTTCAACCCACCTTTGTCATAGGAAAGGGTTGATGATGAAATGAATTCATTATTCCATGCATGTGAGCAGTCGTATTATGATATGATTAATGATTAATACATACAGACATGCATCTTCCCACACACAAATATAGTACAGCTTGCGGGATGATTTGATAATAAAATAAAATAAAATATGAATATGATAATGCCCCACACAAACGTGTCAGCGATCTACTGGAGATATTAAACTACTATCTTGGCAGCTTGTGTATATACACATATTACATATCCAGAGATTAATGTGAGCCATGAGTAAATACTACTGAAAGAAAAAGAAGGGAGTATACAATGCACTGAAAGAAAGTTTCATACTTAGGGGTGGTGATAAATGTGAATTTCATTATTTTATTTGTCATGTTACGTTTGACACATATATTTTTTTTATATTGCAAATTAGAAGAAGTAGAAAACCAGAAAATGTCATGGCTTCATAATCAGTCAAAGATCATATTAAAGTTGTCATTTTGACAGCTAGTACACAAGACTTCTTTTGACACCACTTAGAATTAAAAAAGTAATTTGGAATTGTGATTACCTTCATGGATTCTTGTCAGATTATTTGACAGAATAATGTGCTTTTCTCTCAATCATGTAAATATTGTTTTCTTAAACAAGGAATGATTTATTTTGAGAATGGAATTTTAATTCAAATGTTTAGTTGCAGTGTAATTTGTCACATATGATGCTACATGTATTAATCAATGCAAGCATTGTTATTACAATTTATCTGTTAATGTAGTATGAGGCATGATTAATATAATTCTATGTTGATTTAATCTGTAAAGCCAAATGCATTTGATGCATTTGTATAAAAGAAAGAATACCAACAAAATATTCCTGAGGCATCACATTTAAGAAATTCTCCCGATGCAAAATTGATTTCAGAAACCTTTGATCTATTCAATTTTTATCCTGCATCATCATAAATAAACAAAAATGGTTGTTATTACTGGTTGTTATTAAACAATAATGACTTTTCATGTCATTCTACCACAGCATGCATGTATTGTGGCGGTGACAAACATGCCAGTAATTTATTGAAATATGGCTTCACTGTGACTTTCATTGGGTTTTAATTAAATTTTGCTGGCTTGAGCCGCTCCTCTTGAGTTGTAAAAGCTCCCATGCTTCTGCTGAAAAACCTGTCACATAGTACATCATATTCAAGCTTACAAAATCATCCACCAATAATGAGGGCCGTCCTTGCTCACTCTTAGGTCGAGTATGAAAAACATGGCGATGAATTCTGCGATGGAATTAAGCATGTGATCGAATTAGTGTGAAATTAATGGCGGGGACTCACGCCGATGCTCTATTGATTTGATATTGTTGATGAAAATTGTCATACAGATGAAACCTTCAGATGCAGCAGTTAGATAGAGGCGTTGGTATTTTGTACCTTGTGCGTGTTTAATGCCGGTGGGGAATGCGGAGGCTATTGCGATGGGGATAGTAGCTATAGGAACGGGTGTTAGAGAATATCAGCGGCTGCCTGCAAGAAGGCCTTTACTGCCATTGACAATACATTACAAAGCTCTTGTGGCCTTGTTGTAGGCAGCTGACAATATTAGGAAAGGTGAAAAAAATTTGTAGGTGTAACGAAATCCATGTCATTTTTTATGATATGCAGAAATGTACATAACTGAGCAACAAAACAAAAAAACGTACAAGGTAACATATACCATTTCCCATATTAAGCATACACTGATTATGTATGTATAAGCAAATCTGTATAGTTTTGTATAGTTTTTTAAATCCATAATTTTCAGAATGTTAGACTTTGTAGACAATTTAATAAAATGTGTGTAAAAGTTGATAACCCAAAGTTGGAGTAGAATTATGTTCATTCAACAGATTTTCCAGTGGATTTCAAGTTTTTAACCTCTGTATTCTCTTTTTTGTAGATGTTCAAAGATTTCTGAAAAAATACATTGTTTATTGTCAAAACTAATGTGGATGTATTTGTTGAAATGATAATGGAAACTCAACTTGTCCTATGAAACAAGATACCATTAGACCAGTCATAACAAGAATGGATTTGGATTACTGTACTCTTTTGTTACATGTAAATATTGACGAAACACAGAAAGACTATCAATTTTCTGCTCCACTTAATTTAGAAGTTGAGGGATGGCCTACTGTCATTTGATATCCCATATTTATATATGAGTACAGATGCAGGAAAACAAGTTAACCAATTTTTAAGTGCTGGATCGTTTTATTACAAAAAATTATTAGAAAACAGAAGTTGAACTCTTCTATTGTCAGATATTTCTCATTTTTTTAAACAAAAATTGCAAAATATATGTTGCAAAGTGAGGAGAGAAAGTTTTGAAAATCGACAAAGGGTTTGAAATATTAAATGTGTAAAATAAAGAGAAAGTAGTACTTGTTGCACAATGTCCCCTGGAGAGCATCCACGTTATCTGAAGGTGTTTTGGTTAATCGGTTCTGTCTGGCGGGAGAAAAGGAAATTGGGATTTAAACCTGTCTGAGGAAGAGAACATAAGCTTCTCAATATAATGCTCTGTCCACAGGCAATGTGGCACAGCTTGTCATAGTCTTAAACACCTCTTAATGGCCTTTATGTTCTCGGGCAATGTGTCGGCGTCATAAGGCCCTACCCGGCTGTTACAGTTGCACCGTTTTGGTTTAATAAACAGCTTGTACTTTCCATTGCTCATGTTAAACGGCTTGTACTTTCCCCTGCCGGCCAGATACCGTTCATTGACCCGATGTCACAATCCTGGGCAGCCTTTATGAATAGAAGCTTTCTTTGCTTGGCACAAAAGTGCTGGATTTCTACATCTATTTGCTCTTGATTTATTATGTTGCCCAAGTGTGGTTGGCTAGCACATTTCCCTGTCTAGCGTCTCCTTTGTGGTGTGGAGAGGCCGATGAAGGTAGGGAAATGGCGGTGTTGGGTTTCTAAGATGCCTTTTTATCTTACCGTTCCGTCCTTGGCTTGCATGTTAAAAGCAAGCCATTGGTCACGCCTTGTAGGTCATTATGGATTTCACCCCATTCTTCAACCATCTTGCCTTCTCATGTACTAGGAGGAGTATTGTTCTTGTGCAGGATAATGGATTCTGCTTGTTTACATCCACTTGTGAGACTCAGAAGGATTTCTGTGTTAAACGATAGGAAGTAATACTCTTTTTAAGCTCGTAACGGAAGACATGTTTATAATATAAATTTTAAAGTTAGAACTGAGCATTGCATGTAAAGTCAACATCGTCATTGCTTAAATTGTTTTTAAAGGGGTTCCTCTGGTATTGAAAGGATACATTTTTATGTACATCTGTATACATTGAGATTGTATGGATTCTATATAATGTTGATTTGTTCTTAAAGATTGATGAAATGTACTTTCATTAAAATCAAGATAATAGCTTTCACACCCTTTAAAATCCTCATCTATCCGATATTCCCAATTTCATATACAGGTATTGAAGAAAAGACAAGGGCATTTATATCTGTATTCTAAGAACTTATCATTGAAGTACTAAATCCATCATTGAAGTAACTTAACACAAGTAGGATAAATTATTCACTATTTCTGCCTCCTTTTGGGGCATATCATATATTATTCATAACTATCCTTTCCCCTGATGGTAGTAATGAATATCAAATGCAATATGTGGCACAATACCAATTTATTGCAACTATAACTAGAATAAAGTCATAAAGTTGACTTAAATACTGTGTGATGTATACTGAAGCAATTAATTTGATGTAAGTAGAAATAGTTGATGCTAATGCCCTTATTTTGTTGCAATGTGTGAAAAACTTACATGAAGGATGGACACGCTAGAATTTAATGATTCATTATGTTTTCTAATGATATCATACAAATTGAAAAGGTTTAGAGAAATTATGAACTCATAATTACTACAGTCATAATCAGTAAAATTTGATAACTAAATACTTCAATATGAGTGTGAAAGCAAGTTCATAATTACTAAGGACTAGTAAGTTGAAGTAAAGGCAAAACAAAAATTGAGTTGAGGCAGTATTTTCTCTCTCATTTTATGAATAAACATTTTTTAAACCCATTGAATTTGACAGTGTTTTCGTATGGATCTATATGTTGCAACAGTGTATCCAAGGGGTTAAGGCTGCCATAGTATAGAATTAAGAACGTTCTCTAATATATTTAGGGATTGCATGGATAGCTCGATCTCTTGAGGAATAGTAGCAATAAAAGAGGGAATATATGAATTATTTGAGACTGCATGAAAATATGCATATGAGAGCCCTGGATTCTTTGTAGATAAATCATTCTATATCATATGACTCTTCATGCATCCTTAATTTGCTGCGAGTTTTTGCTTTGTGTATCCAAAAAATACAGTGTTCCGTGCATCCTTGTGTACTTTCATTCTCTACAATCATTTCTGTATATGAATTCATATTTTCCTCAATTTCATGCATCCATTCATTAATTTGTTCATATCATGTGTCATATGGGATGAAGAAGTTTCAATTCAGTCTATTTTTACCTTGCCTATTTTTATGATATTGTTATTATTATTAAAGTACATGTTCAGGATAATACTGAAATATATGGAATGAAATTATGATTTATCTATGAAATTGCATTTCACTTTGCTTGTATGGAGTTATGAGACAATAAGATATCAGACCTTGATGTATATTTTACATTATTCTAAAGTCAAATTTATAAGAAAGGAAACTTATAACATGTACATGTATGTTCTCTGTTGCCCTTGTATTACTCTTCTCTAGCATCTTTACCAAGGATGCCCAATCCATTCCACAAAGTATTTTTATATAACCTCTTTTCTTGTAGGTATGAAGTGCTCCATAAACCACTCTAGAATGTATATGACCCATGGAAACAATATTCTAATATCTTTTAATCTATTTTTCATTTTCTCTACAGGCTGCAGCCTATGAGAAGGAGAAGCAAGCCCTGAACAGGGAGGTCTTGACGCTAAGCCAAAAGCTTTTAGACACCAAGTTTGAAATCAACAAATTGGAAGAGAAAAATGTAAGTTTTTTTTATTGATTCTTCATTCACTTTTTAATTATATTAAGCTCTTGTCATGGAACCAAAGCATCAAACTACATGTTCCTGCAAATGATGTGATGCAGTTGTAATTTCTTACAAATGTGGATCAGAGTTATGTATAGGTGATCAAAACCCACAATGGCATCTTGTGAAGATGTGGACATGGCGTATAGCATGCAGAGACACAGTGGTTTTTATTGAATTATGGATAGTTATACGAGTGGGTGGAAATTGATTTTGCTTATACATGGGTACATAATATTGCATGTTGTGTCTGTTTCATTTTATTTCTTTGGATTAGAATAAAATACAGCAGATTTTCGAAGTTTTGCTTTTTGAGGAAAGAGAATGTGATTCTGTCATCCTTGATTTTAAAAAGAAAAGAAAGACACTTGTGGTGCTGATAAAAGATCTAGAAATAGAGAGATAGGGAGAGGTAGAAAGAGAGGGAGGAGGGGGGGGGGGAGAGAGAGAGAAGCGAGGTTTGGAGAATGACAGAAAGATTTAGAATATTCTCATTAATAAAAATAAAAAACTAATGCCTTTTTGGACTTTCTTATTTCATGTTCTTTACAATTTCACCTACTTTTTTTAAGGTGCAGAGTTTACGATTCTTGAAGCTGAATACAAGCATGTTTGTTTGGGCATGAGTTAACTAAACTAACAAAGAGAATAGATTGAAAGAGAGAAAGAGAGGGAGAAAAAGGAAGAGATATAGAGAGATGTTTTGTTTGAAACTGAAAATGTGAAGAAATCATCTGACTCAGATTAAATAGCTTTGGACCATGCATGCATCCATGAACGGGTCGAAATGCAATTTTGCATGACTTTCCCAGCAGTACAAGGCCTTGACATTTTCGAAAACCTCTTTTTCTTTCCCTTCGGCTTTCATTATCATTGTAAAATGACTCAGTGCACAATACTTCTCACATCTTTGCGGTGAAGCAAGCAAACCGTGAGTGGTGCATTTGTCACTTGGTGCATCAGAACAAAATGTCAGTGGGGTAAGAAAGTGTGTTTTATCACACATGCTTAAATACTGGTAAGCGCTTTTTTCTTTTAAGGCAGCTCACTGTACTTAGACAACGATGATTGGGAGACTATAAGTTTTATTTTCACATATATGTATATAACTTTAAAAAATATATAGCCAGCATATTTGCCTGTACACTACAAAGCATTTTAAATGATACCTGCTGGGAATCACAAGAACTTTAATATTTCCTATTCTTAAAAACAGAGTTAAACCCTTCTTTAGCTCTCAGCAGTCGATATAAAGAGCAAGGTGATCTACATGTTATATTTATCTTATTCATTCTGAATAGCACTACTATAGAGTAAATGCATCACCTAGGTCTGCTATTAATAGGATCCTTCACATCTATTCATCAAAGCAGCAACCTGTAGATCGGGTGCCCACCAGACACCGATGAGAATATGTGTCTTTTCTCCTTCCTGTGCTGCATTATGTGGTCGGTCGGTCAGAGATGATGCATCAGGTGACGAAGGATGACTCATAGTACATCGTCTGGGTAGAACTTTATACCAAAAGTGTAATTTGTGTTAAAATTGTTGAAAGCCTGCATTTTATGGGAGACGTTTGTGTGCAGTGCCTCAATGTGAAATCCACTGATTGTAGTTATTCTTTTGCAAACTGTTCTCTTTCGTTTTTCTTCTCTAATTTCTCTCACTATTCCTTATTTATTCCGTCTTTTTTTCTCTCTCTCTCTCTCTCTCTCTTTATTGTCTTTTTTATTTTGACTGCACCTTCTCTCTCTCTCTCTCTCTCTCTCATGCCCATCTTTTTATTTCAATTTCCTGTCCTTTTCCTTTATTTTGTCTTGATTATTATTGTAACCTCTGAACAGAAATGAGGGTAGATTCTTTTCCTGTAAAACAAATTACCTGTTACACGGTTACAGGTATCACACTGTTCTTGAAATCATTTATCCCTTGCAGCCATTATTTATTCATCCCGATTCATTTTAGCATGTCATCCACACCAAATAACAATACATGGGGAGAATATTGCCATCATTCTTGCGTTAATGAGGAAATTGATCAGAGTAATTGATGGGTCGCCACGACTAATAAGGTAACATGGACATAATGCTACTCTTATGAGCAACATGAGCAAGAACGTCTTTAATAGGCTTTTTATCATGCAGTGAGAGGGGAAAGGAAGATGGAGAGATATAGAGGGAATGAGAGAGATAGAGAGAGAGAGAGAGAGAGAGAGAATGAGAGAGGATGAGAGAGAGAATGAGAGAGGAAGAGAAAGAGAGAGGAAGGACAAGGAGAAATAAAAAGAGATAGGAAGAAGACAGACAAATAGAGAGATAATGAAAGAGAATGTTGAGATGGAGACAGGGAGAAAGAGAAATTAAAGGGAATGGGACATTGGGTAGTTGGAAGAGATGGTGAGGAAGAGAGAGAAAGAGAGAGAGAGAGAGAGAGAGATTGTAAAGAGTGCAATCTGGAAAGAATGAGATGATTAAGAAAAATGAAAGAACAGATAAGACAGTGTTTAGAGGGAAAGGGAAGCGGGAAAGAGAAATAGAAAGAAGTGTTGAGAGAGAGATCCAGACTACACAGAAGATGAGAGAGCAAGAGCTATGGAGAGACAGACAGACAGAAAGAGAGATGTGGAGAGAGTTTGTAAGGAAGAAGAAATGGTAAACCACAGGCTCGATCAGAGTATTCCATCAGCCTCACACATACGCTATATAGAACATCATTACGATGAGAGCCCTGGAGAAGCAGGCAAGTGGAAACATTAGAAGGACATGTCGTATTGTAATGCACATTTATTCATGTTTTGACAACCGTCTACGATTGATCTACCGTCTTATCCATCCATCTTTTGCACTTGCCATTGTCGTCTGGGCCATTGTAGCTTCCAAGTATTTTTCACGCTGGGAAACTGATATCACGTATGGATTAAATTAAGTCTAGGGATTCGGATATGCAAACTTGCTTTTTAAATTCTCTAGCAATAGCCGTGTAGCCCGTGTTCTCTGTATTAAAATGCATTGAATCAATTAGAATGTATTATTAGAGATGAAACCCTAAAGTGTAATCTAATCTGTCATCCCATTTGTGAGGAAACTTCAGAAATTAGCTTTGAAATTCTTGAATGTTAAGTTGCAAATTGGTCACATTTCGTCCTTGTTTTCACGAAGTGACGGTAGTGAGGAAAATCGTAACGCAAAGTGAATGCAATTTGTTTTCACTACCGTCACTTCGTGAAAACAGCGACGATTTGTAGAATCAAAAAGCATGTATTCATAGACGTTGAAGGAACTGTTGGGTGAAGCTACCGGTTTAATGTTACCATAAATAATATGTAATTGAAGTATGATGTTAGTGAATGAATCCAAAAAGAATTTCAAAGATAATACTTTTTGCATAGTCTCTAGGAAAATGTCAAAATCATTACTGAATGAATGGAGAAAAGGAATTTTAAGCAGTATTACAAATGAAAATTGGTTTTGTAGTTTTGTCAAGAATTTGAGGATGGAGCTTGAATAGATTATAATTATTTTTTAAATCTCCAATGGCAATCAAATGGCTTATGATGTAGGCACAGTGGGAGTCTGACATGGAATCTAGCTCATGTACGTAAAGGGAAAGCTGTGGTAGAAAGCCTCTTGTAAATTCAGAACCTTTCTGTACCAGGAAGTTTAGGAAGAATAAACTTGAGTAGAAATTTTCCAATTTTAATTGTATTTATAAGTGCTTTTGCATTTTTGTTATTGGACTTGAATCAATGTTCAACTGTCCTTAATGATTATTTCTGTATTGAGGAAGATAGGCCAGATAAAAAAAAATAACAAATTTATGAAAGGGGTCAATCATTCCAGTTTGATTGGAAAGTAAAGAACAGGATTGTATGTTATGTAATTACAAGGGCATAGAGAGAATGATGACATTTAATGTATCATCATTAAAACAAGAAATATTTGTAACACTAAAAAAACACACCTATTGTTTACAACTTTATGTGATGCTTTAAAAAAATACTGATGATAAGGATACAGCAAATTACAAGTTTAGATGTATATATAAAAACATCCTTTCTCTGAAATAGAATCAAAGTGTCAAAAAGTTGGATAGTGGCGATATGCCCTGGTTTCGTCAATCATAATTAGTGAGGTATGAACAGGGTAAAAATAATGGAGAAACCGGAGATGTTTACATCGTTCCGAGATCTCCCTTGGCAACCCCAATGACATCTCTGACATCCGCTTGGTGGGATGTACCTGATCGTGTACATCAAATCAAGTTATGAAGTCAACAAAATGAAGGGATTCTTAAAGGGATTTCCTTCTGTGGGGAAAATGTGTGAATAAGAAAGATTTAGGTGTCAATCTTAGCCTGAAGCAAAGTCATATGATGAAGAAGTTAAGGAAGAGAGTGGGCGAGAGAGAGAGGGGGGACGAGAGGGGATGGAGGGGAAGTGAGGGGAAGGGAAAGTTAGGAGAGGAAAAGACAGTGGGTGAAAAAGAGATAGAAGATAGAGATAGACAAAGATAATAAGAGAGAGAGAGAGAGAGAGAGAGAGAGAGAGAGGAAGAGAAAGAAAGAAAAAGTAGAGGTGGGTGGAAAAATAGGTACGTACATGTTTAGAAAATTACATTGATGTATACATAGGAAGTGACATTGATATAGATAAGAAAGTGACAGAATAAACAGGAAAAAAAAATTCTGGAAAGTAAGAGGTGAGCCAGACAATTTTTTTAACAAGCTGGATATGTGATGGAAATCATTCAAATTTGTCTCCCATTTCCTTTATTTCTGAAGAAAAACCCCATGAATATAGATGAAGTAATTGAATATGGAGCAATTACGTTATGAGTGTTGTATTTCTATTTCCCAAGAGACTGATGATAAGAGGCTGTCATTCCAATCGTGACCTCGTTTGTTTTCAATTTCATTGTCTGCTGTTGATGAGAGGGAAAAGGGTGATTTGTCTAGATGCACTTATCACATGCCGACTGTTCATTTTACTCCCACAGGCTGATAATGTAGTAATGAAGATGATTAATGCATCTAATACTATGTTTATGGTCCTAGCAGCCTTTAGGTAAAGCATAGTACTAATACCCAGAGAGCTAGGACAACAGGAATAAAATCACAATACATTATATAGAATACTAATTCAAAATGATCTTCAAAATTAAAGCATAGATGATAGATGTAGAAAAGTTAGTTCCTTCGAGAGATATGAATTTAAGTAGGTTTTTGATATGGTTTAGAAAGTGTGCAGGGATGGAGAATACTGGATATAGGGAGGCAAGCAATTCCATAGTTTAGGAGTGGCGAAAATGAGGTTATCGACTACTTCCAAAGCACCACTTCTGTATAGTTAGAGTTAAAGTTAACTTTATTTAATGTTTCAGTATATTCCAAGATAAGTTGTACTCAATAAGGGAAGCAAGGTGAAATTAAAGATCAGTTTCATTTGAGGCTGAATCATAGCTTTAGTTTTCTTATTTATAAATTTAGTAAAGTTTAAGCTCAGTTTTAGTTCAAGCTAAATTATGGCTTCAGTGTCCTTAATCTGTTATGTTTTAAAGCATAAGTCGGGCTAGTCATAGATGAAACAATCGCCACGCAGAATTTTTCTACCCCAAGCACAATTCTATCACATGATTCTTGGCATGAACTGTAACTTCGCCAAAGACACAGATAGATTCAAAATTCATGTTGCATGTGAAAAAAAGAGCAAGAAAGGGATACATCTCCCATCTCCAGATAACACCCAAGCCATGCATTCTGCCATATCCAGTCACTCTGATTAAGCAACGCAACCCCTCAGCGGCGGGGGGCGTGGGAGTAGAGAGGTGTTTTCTTTAGAGCTGAACTCGACACATCGGGTGGTGGGGACCAAGATACGATTTGATGAGTCAGTGGTGCGCAAGGAGCCACGGGTAATCGGTTGAAAAAGAAATCAAAAGCGTCAGGATAAATCATAGTCTTTCCATCTTGCGTACACCTGCATTATCACGTACATCTATATGATCCGCCATCGTCCATCTTGTGCAGCCATTGTTTGAGGTCGCATTATTCGACCTTGAAAGCTTTGTAAAGAGCTGGAATTGGAATTGAATTTAGTTGTCCTCGGCTTTTTAACAATTGATGAAAGAGCATTGCAGTGAATATTGTAAATGATGTGCTCTATAATAGATGATACATGCTTACATTCTATATTATGTTTTAGGCAAGTAAGATATTGAACCATCTGACTTGTAACATTGAAAATCAAAAGTCAAAATAGACTGCCTTTTTGAAATTCATCATAAATGTATATCATTATTATTATATGATTAAAAGGAAATTTGTTCTATGTGTGTTCAAGAAGGTAGGGTATGCAATCACTATTTTAATACTGACTGATACCTTTAATATGACTGTTGATTGCTATGAGGAGATAATATGTGTATGAGACATGTATCTAAGAGAAACCGGCCTACAGAGGGTTATTACAGGACACTCATTAAGATGGAAATCAGATATATGGTTGGAGGCTGTCTTTCTTTGAAAAAAGAAGGTTCCAAGTCAGATTTGAAATAATATGTTTAGCTATCTGGTGATGGTAATGCTCTTACGTTGCAGATACATGTATATATGTACGTGTATACAGTTTGTATATGAATATACAGCATAAATCGAGCAATTTTGTCTCTTACTTTGTTTCATTTTGATTGTGTAAGCTGTGAAATCATTCTGGCGAACAGCCCTTTACCTCTGTAAAGCTGAATTAAAAGGTGTTGGATAAAAATAGAAAATAAAAAGGTCGTTTCACATTTCTACAGAAAGTCCCAATAATCTTTGAACAATATCATACTTCGAGTGCTCTTTCATAACGTGCAGCATTAGTGTGGAGATACTGTTTGATATAGTCCATAAGACATTTTTTGTAAATGGAAAGTACTTTAGTTTTTGCCGCTGTATTCATATATATTGTCTGTTCTGAATCAGAAGGGCATTAACTCATATTTAAGGCACAGATATGCCCTTAGTGCTCTCAACCACCACTATCAGCTGTAGATATGAAAACACTCTCTCATCAAACTTCAGGAGATATTTTTTTCACGTGCCAATTTGATCTTTATTTGAGTGAAAAAATTCAGTGGTGATGGTGGTTTACCTGCTAGGTATGTACGCTTTTGAAAAGAAAACTTCTGCGGTTTATTCTCTTTTAAAACATGACTTTTAGTGACAGCCACGAAGGTATGAATTGAAAGAGATTTGGCTGTTGATTTGTATAACGATAAAGATACCTAAGTTGTATGCCAATCAATTGTGGAAAGAAAGTGATATATGTACTTTTAAGGTATGTACTTTTAAGGTATGTACTTTTTGCTGCATGAACTCTTTATCTGCTTATAGTTCTGCCACAGTGGACTTTTTTTCACATGCACAAAGTATATACAAAAAAACAATATGGCAGTCTACGGAATCAGTCAATGGGGAATAAAGAGTTAGCATCCATTTTGTTTTTACGTAATGTGAGAGAAAGAGAGAGAAAGAGAGAGAGAGAGAGAGAGAGAGAGAGAGAGAGAGAGAGAGAGAGAGAGAGGCATCAAATGTAATTCACAGGCACAGGTATTATTTCTTACCTTATGAACAACATGTGTGAATGAAGAAAAATTAACTTTTACCCCATAATCACATGATTGGGTTCAGGTGAACTAATGCTTAGCTTTATATGTTTCAAGCATCACCCCAAAAAAGAAGAGCTTTGTGAAAATTACTATATGGTGTAATGTATGTCATGTTTGTGACTTTTGTGACTTTAATTGAAGTGACTTAATCAATAATTTAATCATGTTTACTGCTTAAATATGTTAAAAGTTCATAACCTATTTTAATATAAGCAGTATACCTGAGAATATAATAACCATAGGAAATTTGTACATGTATGCTAAGTGACAGTTATCATTCAAACTTATTTATGTTCATTTTTTATTCACACAGAATCGATACAAGAAAGATTGTGATCTAGCTGTACAGCTGCTACAGTGTACACCGTCAGGGGCATACATGCAACATAAAGTTAGCCAGGTAAGTCGTCATTATCATTATCTTCATCATCATCGTCATCATCATCATCATCATCTTCTAAAGCTAAAGACCAGTTATGGTCATGCGATTGCATTGTGAAAGAAACGTTGTGAAATCGATCAGAAAAGGTTGATCATCAAGCATAGATGTACTGCAAGGTTCTGGAATCATCAAAATGATAAGAAATTTGGCCAAGTCTTCATAAAGTTAGAAGCACTGTACACAGAAAGATGTAAATGGGACTACACACACGTGAGCGACACGTGCATTTCATATCTCTCAACAGGCGAGATACACTAATTTACCAAATATATCAATTAGTAGGCGGTTTCCCGTCAAAATTTTTATCATCATGTAATATTCAAAACATATTCTTTCACATGATTGGTAATAAGAGCTTCCATTTCATTTTTTGAAATTGGGGCATTTCCAATATTGGTCTTTACCTTTAATATTCACTGGGGTCCCATCCTTGTGGGAAAGTGGTTAGGGCTTCACAATATTATTCTCCATCATACTCTTATTTGCAGCTGAATGGAGAATAACTCAGAAAGGCCATAGCCCTTGTGACTCCAAACAGACAAACTATTCACCCCTCTTTTCAGTGGATGGCCTCTCTTTCTCCTCCCTCCATCCATTCCTTCCTTTCTTTCTCCTGCAGCTCATGTTACCAGTTCATCCATATACTAACATATAACATGTAGACCTCTGATCAGAGGGTATATAGTACTGTATTTCAAGAACCAGTGTTACAGTCACTTCTCCTTCTCTTCCCCATCCCTGAATAATTGTCCACAACATGAGTTTCATTAGAAAAGCACTTCCCCAGATGGTGATAAAAGGATATAGTCTATTTCTTTAAAGCATTTTTAGATAATTTCATTGTCAAAAGCAGTTATATGTACCAAATTATCTACTGAGTTAATTTTCAAGATTTTATGTACTTGTTACCTATTTCATACTAATTTTACCTGATGCTAGTTCAATGCCCGATTCTACCTTTAACACCCTTAATGCCTTCTATAACCATACTTGGGTAATTATGAAAAGAAGTTGGTGCATGGAAGTGACACGATATAGATAAATCCTGTAACTTGAGCAAATGCAAATGTCACTCGTAATCATTCCTTAGTAGACGTTACAAGAGCTTCCGATGTGCTGGGATGATGGTCATGATACGAGTCCTAGACACTACAGTTTTTCCGAGCACTTGACGATGTATTCTTGCTGCTGAGCAATTCGGTGCTCTTTGTTTCATTACCCGCAGGAGAATGTGGAGTCTGCTTTCTTGTCAGAATTTGGCTGATGGGTGTACAGAGGGTTGATATTGCTCTGCTAGCTGTTCTCTTTTGTGGAAGGATGGGGGGGGGGGGGGGGTTGTCCAATCTTTAATTATGAAACCATTTGGCTTATATACAGACAAGAATCCTGTGAGGCAATAATAGACATTCTCCTAAGGCCCTATACCAGGGATTTACAATAACTTTTTCACAAGGGAGGGGGGGGGGGGGGGGTTCCGGATTAAAATTAGAGGGCCCTATGTGCACTAGAACCCTGTTAGTGTTGAGCTCTGCCCATGAAACTGTGCAGTCTGTAGCTGACAATGTACATATAGCAATATAAACATTAAAGGTACAACATTGTTGTTGTTTTTTGTACAGCTTGCATTTGTTTTGATTCTGAATTGAGGTTCAATTCATCGAATCCCTATTCACGTTACCTGGTACCTTTAGGCTTATCACTTGTGAATGGACCACTGTGAACTGTTAATGAAATCTGTATTGATATAAGGGAAAAACAACAACAATTTGTCAAACTATGAATTATAGATGAGAGTCATGGTAGTTAAAACATGCATTTGCAACTAAAGTATGTGCCCTTTTCCCAAGTTTTGTTTTTTAGGCACCTTGCTACTTTAATTACACTCTTGCTTATTGGACTTTCAAATGATATGGTATGATTCTAATTCATTATTTAAAAAAAAAAGCAAAGGTTAGAAAAATGTAGAGATGTTAATGCAACCATGCTCTGCTCAATCTGGGTCATGAGAGACAAAGAAAAAGACGAAACACAGCCCAAAATCGCTTGCAGTGCAGATGCTTGATTGGATCTAAATTGAATGGTCTCAAACACTTCCTTAACAGATTGAGTTGCCTCAGTAGGATTGGATTAATAGCAATTAGATTAGCTACTTGAGATTGCCAATCTAATTACCCAGATTCTCTGTAGAGCACCCTCGTCAGTCACAGGTCTTATAGTCTCTGCCCGAGGCTGTCACAATTCAGCTATTCCAATGTCACCAATTTTCAATTGCTAATCTCAATTAGATCTCATCATGCATGGATTGATGTCATTTTCTGGAAGCCTTACTACCATAATTAACTTAACCTTTGTCCTTGAAAGTATTCAGGGTGGAATGTTATGCCCTTTAATTTTTAATTTTTGTAACCTTTTGCGTCTGTTATCTCTAGGTACCAACTTATTTATTTCTTGTAAAATTGTATTTGATAAAATTTGACAGTGTACCATGCAGGTAAAAATGGGATAATATATAGAAGTGATTTCTTTTGGTGGTATTTTTCATGTGATGATTTTTAGACATGCTTTTTTTCTCTCATTTTAATAACCACGCTCTTATGACATAGATTGTACACCAAAAATGGAAGAACAGATTCGTAGTCCTGAATATTTGTAAAATTGAGATAATCAATAGTGTATATTTGCATAATGCAATAGTTGTGAACTTTTTGTGTCTTTACAGCTTCCACAAGACCTGCAATACTTTGTCCACCAGATCATGGGTGAGATCAATAAGGGTGTGTACCAACCCTCAGCAACATCTCCTACAGAATCCAGTAACCATCCTCTACTAGGAAGCTCAGGAACTTCCATCTCTAATGGCTTGATTGCTGCCAGGACCTACAACTCTGTCCCTGCCCACGTGGTGGCACGGGCCATGCAGCGCAGGGAAGAGGAGGAGAAGAAGGAGATGGAGAAGCTAGTACCGACCACAAGAAAACGAAAGGTTGGGAAGGACGGTGTCGTTCTGCTGCATGACAAGGGAACGCAGACCATCACCAGGCCGACAATGAATAAGAAATACTCGCTGTTGTGTGTGAAGTGCGGCATGACCATGAAGGATGAAGAGGAACCCTCTGCGGAGCCAGCCGTTGAGAAGCAGAAAGAAAAGGAGGAAGTGGTGGAAAAGAAACCAGAGCAGGAAAAGCATTTGTTAGTGGATGTGAGCATTGAAGAGGATACAGAGCCACCTCCTGTCAATCTACTTGATCTTACAGACACTCCACCTCCCAGGGTACCTTATCCCAAAGGTCCGTCAAACACTAGTCTCTTGCTTGACTTGCTTGATGGACCAACGGATGATGCACCTGAAGCAGAGAAGGCAGCCCAGGAGCAGACACTTGTGGATTTGTCTGACCTGGTTATAGGTGTCCCAGAGGAGATGAGCCATCCCTCTGTTGATAGCCCATTGAGCAACGCCACTTCCCCGCAGGATGCTGCAACCCCTGCTGATTCAGGCATTTTTGACGATGTCTTGGCAACCTCTAGCGCAACCACCCATACCTCTGATTCAGCTGCTTCCAGTGACATCGCTTCTCTTGAACCCGAGGCGGATGCTGCAATGAACGTGTCAAGACGAAGCACGCCCTCTAGACGGTTGGGTTCCGAAGGCGACGGCAGCCCACAGCACAAAGTCAACGGCGGTGGGGCATCCAGTCCATTAGCTTCGCACTACAATAGCGATTCCGACTCCAAGTCAGCTGATGGACAACATGATGATCCTTCAAGCCCTCCACCAAGTCCAGTCCGAACCCCTGTGGATAAACCGGCACCAAGGCATCCAAAGACCTCACCTCCTCCACCTCCTACATCAATGACACCTCAGACGACCAGTACATCGACGGCCATCGTCAAACCCAGAATCAATGGACAAATAAATGCTGGTGGAAGGCCAGGTAAATTAGCCAACAAAGACGGGCCAATGAAAGACAAGCCGCGACCCATCGGTAGTGCCTCCGCCAACCAAGCTGCACCTATCGGTAGATCAAAGGCTTCGTACATGCAGACGAGTGTGTGACGCTACGCTAGGGTCTGTGTAGAGTAGTAATGGTTAACATGCATATATTGAATTGAAATCATGATTGCAAATTTAGCAACTTCATTAAAGACAACTCTGATACTCGATGCTTGTTTTTATACCGCGTAGTTCAAGGATTTCATGTATGTTTGATGCCACTTTGATATGTACTTAGACATCCAAACAATATCAGGACTCTTTTAACCGTGTACTTCTATATGTCTCATTTCCATTCCAAATTGATGCAGAGTGTAATCCCCAAGTATTTATGTGGAAACCATTCTGTATCATTGTCATTTGTTTTAATATCTATTGTCATCAATGCAGATCTAGCCCTTGAAACTTGTAGGTAGAAAGTAACATGTGAAGTTTGCTTAGATGCTTAATGAAATGTAATTAAGACTTATAAAGAAGACATTGCATACTGCAGCAGAAAGTTGTGTGTAAAAGCAAAATATGCTCTTATTGATGTCATGTATGGGATTTCATAATGTGATAATAATGATATCGAGATTTATATTGTGCAGTTACTATGTGAATTTACTCAACTGCACATTGAAAAATCAGTGAAAGTTTCATTACTATATGAAATAAATTTTCTACTAGGGTATTCATCTACTCATTAAAACTTTAATTAGTGTTATGGCATAATACTAGATTTAAATGCCTTTGAAAGGAGATGGTAACAACCATTTTTAGATCACTAAAAGACATTTCTTTTACTTCAAGATTTTATACTGTGTTACAAGCTTCTTGTTTAATCAATTTTGTAAAACAGTTTTGCTAATCCTCTCAGGCTTTACTCTGCATAGGCACATGGACAATTGTGATGCAGCTCCAGATATTTGTTCTGTGTTTATATGCAGGTTAAACTGTGAAATAACGACAAAAATATCCCCAATGAATGAAGTGTCAAAGACACTTAAAGCAAGAGTAGTTCTCCTATTAATTATGAATGCAACCACGGTGGAATGCAATGTGGCAGGTCCTTGCTTCTCATCAAGCTAGGCATTCTAGTTTATCTCTGTTAGAGTAATCCACATATTCCTTTGTAACTGCCTGCTCACATAAATAGGTGATGATAGTTAGGTGTTGATTGTGAAAATAGATCTAGAAATAGAATTTCTATACAGATTACAGAGGCATAGAGGATTTACCTTTTGAGCAACAACCATTTGATATGCATTTTGTTTACTTGTTCTAACATGTTTTCATTGTAATCAATCTCAAACTCCTTCATCATGTACTCTAAGATGAAAGTATGGAGCAAAACCCATGTATTTGCATTGTTTTTGTTTTGTTTTTTGTCACAGGCATGTTCTCTCTCTCCCTTCCCCTTACTCTTTCTCTCTCCGTGTAATATATATCTATGTATATATACATGTAATATGTTTCTCTTTCTCTCTCTCTCTGTTTCTCTCTCTCTTACTCTCTCCTCTTCTCTCCCTGTCTGAGTCTGCTTCATGATAAATTACCACGTCCATGACTGTTGATGCATCGTCATCGAAACGAGAGACAAGTCAGCACCTTTGAAAGAGTATTCTTGCCGTGGGCTGCAGGCAATCAACTTAATGGAAGTGTCGAAAAGCATTCTGCGTGCCGTTTTGATGAATTGCACTGCTGATCCACATGGAGAGCCATGCAGCCAATGCTCCATAGAGAATGCACAGAGGGTACCTAGAAAAGTTTGGATTTAGCCCAACGCAGAGCGCATTGCGTCCTGTAGTGCCAACTACAGCCATGTAGCGGTATATTTCCAGGGAAAGTGTGTAGGAGGTAAAATTAATGTCTAGAGACGTACAGAAATGTATTTACATCTGAATGCAGAATGGAGTTTCCAGGTACCTGTCTGCAATGGGTAGGCCTAGTGTAAGAGATTAACTTGTTGCATCAGTGAGGACGTGACTTGTTTGTGGGAGGTGAAAGCTGATTGATATGGTTGGTGCAAGTGAGATAAATAATATATCCCTATCCGTCTATATTCTAGAGCAGCATTTTCAAGAATGATGTATTGATTTTCTCTAAAACCTAAATGCTGTCTTGAATTGTAGCTGAAATATTACAAGTGCTAGTCGTGCAGAATTGAAGATCACATCTCATTGTTATGATTATGTACAAAGAGAAGTGTCTCCACTTTTCTCTGTTTCTCACTTGCTCTGTTCTTGGTATTGATTGTAATCTCTCTCCAACTCTCTTTTCCTCCCTCTCTTTCCCTTTTTCTTGCTCTCTTTCTCTCTCTTCCCCTCTCTTCCCTTCATCTTAACAACTTTACAGATTGTGTGTCCACTTTCTTCCCCTCGATCCTAAAGTCTTAGATTTGTACCCATCAATAGTGGTAGGGACCTATTCTGTGTAAAAGATTGATTCATCATGTAAGTTTACGGAGTACAACTAAAAGCTATGCTAGAAAGTAATGAAATAAGATGTTATGTGTTTAAAAATCATGTATCGTTCATAGAAACAAGAAAAAAAAGGAGACATTGTAAAGGTGTATTACATTTCTTATTTTAATGGCATGTTCTACAATGGAGGATCTGGATGAGTTCATATTAGCTATGCAAAAAGTGATTATAATGCCAATAAACATTGTATGTTTGAAAGATGGAAAGTTGTGTTGAGTTAGCCAAATGAAGAAGAGACAAGAATTTTAATATTTTTGGTATTTTGACAATTACGTTGTAAATTTCTGTAAATATGATTGATTGTAAACTGATTATTTATACTTGGTAGTCTTTCATTAGTCCAAGGTTTTTATGCAAGGAATTTCTGCACAGTTCATTTGAAAAGAGTGGCGCACATTTGCCCCTTGACACTAGATCAGCATAGACTGTATATTGGAGTTTAGTTTTAGCCTACATTATCAGTTGGAAATTTAAGTTTTTAACATGGAGTAAGACACAATTTTGGGGCATTATATGTATATATTTATTTTTACGAATATACCAATTTGTATAAGTTAAATAGTTTTGGCAGGTTTAATATTGGGGTGGACAATTTTCTTTTCATTTAGTGTTATCTGTTACATTTTGCTCATGTATGTGTTCAAATTCTGAACCCATCATCCAAGGTTTGAGTGTCATTATGTATACTAGATAAAGGGAATGGGACTGGCTCACTTTTAAAAAAAAATATGTTAGGATCCACTTTTACTCCCAGCAATGCAAACCATCTCATATGACTCGTTGGTTAGCAGGTATATACTGTTGATATATCTCAATCTACAGCAGGAGAAATCATGCCATTGATTACTATGCTCATAAACATGATCATCTCCATCCATTAAGGACCAATTGGGGGTTTCACTGGCCTATGACAATAACAAGCCAGTACACATCCTGTTTTCTATGTAATCTTTCTATCAGAAAATTTAGAATGAAGGATCACAGATTTCTGGATGTTTACCATCATAATTTGCATTTTTTTTTTTTGGGGGGGGGGGTGGTTGGTGGGATTCCTAAAACAAACAAATAGAAAATAAAACTTTAGAAATAAATTTTCTTCGAAATCCAAATTCCAATTTGTTTCTGTATTTAAATACTTAGTGTCAATCTTTGTATTCACTGATTTAGAAGGATATTGATAGTGATGACTTAAAGGGAATCATTTGTCAGTTTCCATGTGCAGAAGGCCATAATTCGCTGACACCAGACTTGGTGGAAAAACCATTAATGGGAGTACAAATCTGCACACAGCAAACCCGTAGGCCAGTCAAGAATTGCCCCTTATCTCTCGGAGAGTCTAGCTTCGGATCCCGCTTCGGATCGGGTGAGGGAAAAGCAAAGAATTACCGGTCGAATGGTCATAAAAAACTGAAGGCTAACCCTGGTGATTGACAACTACTGAGTGTCTTTAATATACAAATACATTTTAGAATATATATTCACCTTATTCCAGAATGGTGTTTGGCTAAATCTCCAATTCAAAATTTAAAAAAATTCCTGTTGAATAGAGATATAATTTCTTTTAAATAGTTATGTTTGTATATCTTTTGCTATTGTGCACTCATGTCTATACATATGTATTTTGTTTCATCTTCTGTACATTTTAGTTTACAATTTTGTATGAATATCAGTATTACCAGCAAAATGCATATATTTGGACTCCTATGACAAATTTCATTGTTGTAAAAACCCTGTCAAATATTTCAGTACTCTTCTAGAAGCATTTCAGTTGTTGGAGAATTTACTTAATTTTTATAGAAGTTTGTACGGATAATTCATTACAAATTTCATTGTTATATGATGGGGGTATTAAAATGTAGCCAATTTAACCAAAATTAAAATGAGCTTTGATAGATTTATTCCTTTAATGATTTCTTAATTGTTAGAAACTCATATAGATAGTAATACCTAACAACTATTTATTTACTAAACGAAAAACAAACCTTTTCATCATAACTACCAAATTAACAGTGTCCTATTTTTACACTAGTACTTAATCATATTTGTGTGTGAGATTTATTATTTACTATGTTTAATCTGTGTATAGTGTATTCAGTTTTTGCCTGCCCTCATGTTAAGTATATATATTGAAGGAAAAAAAAAGAATAGTGGGGTCATATGGTCTGAATTTTATTTGCAAAATTGTATTCATATTTTTTATTTCAATGTGTACATTATGTTTTGTATATAATTTGATGACATATCAGAGAACATTTTTTTAAAGATGAATAACAAAATATTGAAATATGTATACCAGTCCTTCCAATGCACTCTCTAGGACTGAAATAAATGGTCAAATGGTAACAAATCTGTCTCATATTTCAAAATGTTTATGTATAAATATCTGTTTTGAATCGTTGATTTGATTTCTTTTTTGTGTGTAAATGTATGAAGGGATAATAGTAATTTCATTGTCAAATAGTCAAAATAGTAAGTAGAATATAATAGCAGCTAATTTCTTAATTTGGGTTATAATACTAATACCATGATATTAACATTTTCTACTGTTATTGAACTTGTAACTGGGATACAGTAGTGGCTTGGGGAACATTAATCAGTAGTATTCAAGTACCTAGAGTAGAAATTAGATTAATGTTACATATTTTTTCATGCAATGTAACAAGGTTGTTTTTTCATATTCAAGAAAGAATTGCAAGCATTTGCTCTCATAACTGGTGATATAATAGATGTTTAATAAGATATGATGCCATTACGAGTAGAACGTATATTCTTCCCACAACCGCTGTAAAATACGACTACCAATTAACACAACCGTAGATATTACCATCTTGTATCGTTCCTTTCTAATCTATGTGATTGTATAAGGTGTGTAAAATTCACATTTGAGAATCTGATTCATCAGCAAAATGTTAGTATGAAAAACTGTACCGTATGACATTTCTGCACAATAAAAAACATGAATAATGTATAGATAAACCATGGATGAAAGAACTGTGTCTAGCTTATTTCTGAATTCTTGTATTTTTAATGAGTAAAAAAGGTTGCAGATAAATGCTGAGGAAAGGAATGGAGTTGAATGTCCAATATATCATATCATTGATCAGTTCACAAATGTATCTGAATTCATGCATACCCTTAATATACCTTAGTCACTTCCGACAAGACAGACCAAAGGATTGGTCGGTGTGGAGTCAGTCTGGCGGTGTGACTGAGATATTACAGCAATGGTTGCTAGCTAGCTCACATAGCTTGTCAGAGCATTGCCTGGCATAGCAAACATATTGAAGGCATCCTGCATTTGTGAATTGAAACGATGAACCAGGTGAATAGAGTATTACAATATCCTCTTTCTGTCTCTTTTCCGTGAGGAAGAAGTACATGTATGAATAGATTTGAGGACAGTTGTGTACTGTTATGAAAGTGTCAAACTTGTGAGGAAAATCAGGATGATTTTCTTCGTCTTGTGGACGCTGAATAACTTGCTCAAGAGCAGTCTACTCTGTGTGGAGTGTAGATATGTGACAGGAAATACAGAGGAAAACAAGAGGTAAATACATATGTGGATGGTGATCAGTGCCCATATTCATAAAACCTTGCTAAGCTCTTGGTCAGGTAGTTGGCAAAAACTACAAACACGTCACTTGGCCTGGTAAGCCTTTATGAATATGGGCCCTGCTATTTTATCTCTTATTTGATTATTTGAACACTATATAAGAAGTAGGTTGCAGCTTTTAAGCACTGTGGGTCGGGGAAATAAAAAATAAAAAAATACCAACAATTTTTAGTACTTGTCCACAGGCAAATACAGGGTATTTTGTCGCATACATGACTGACCACAGAAAATATTTCAGTGTATCATATGATTATAGTTTTAGCCTCGTTCACGTTTGCATCCGACGTACACGTAACATCAAGTTTTCAAATTTTCATCCACCCTAACCATCCATAATATTTGTTAGCATAGGGGACATAAATTAAAACATGACTTGGCCTTTACCAAAGTACAATACGATACAAAACGAAAGGGACTGTTGAATGGAAATGAAAAATATAAAACGAGAGAGCAAATCATTTTCAGAACCAGCAAGAGGATAACTGAAACAGAAGTGATAATGTAGATGAAGAGTTGTGGGTGGACGGAAGCTGTGGGAGTTTGTAGGAAAAGGAAGTGTTCTGCGGGTGATGCAAGAAATAAGATTGAATGGTGAAGAGAGAGATGGGTGATTTGAGTTCTGGAAAAACATGATTGATGAAAAGAACAGAAAGTGAAAAATTGGCTAATAATATAAATGTAGAGACAAGAGGAATGAGAAGGAAACTTGGTAAACAAAAATTGATCTAGAAAGAGGAAACAAAAGGAACAAAAGACAAATCAGTCAAAATGATGGCTCATATTAAAGAAAAAAGAAGATTTATTACAAAATAAAGCAGATTGGTAGACATCAATTTGATCATGTAGTTTATTAGACAATAGCAACATTTTCATTACTATGATTAAGATAATCTATAAAAGAATTACATGTGTCATATTGATAACAGGTTTAAACAAAATTTTAAAAATACAAAAAAAAAAGGATTACCCATTTCTTAATCCATACAAGGGCCTTGTGGAAACGGGCAAAATGCCTATCATAAAAATTTTAAAAATTCCTTCAAAATAACCTGTCATGATACATTTATTTGTGTCTTCATTTTATACAAACTTATACAAATTTTATGATTATCCATAACCTGATACATGATAACATGGATAGAGCCATTTATTAAAATGACACCTTGAGCAAGACTGAGAAAATAAAAGAGTATTCTCCATCGCACAACCTTATGCTCACAGGCAGGCGAGGAGCTGGGCCCATTTACCATTGCTGACCTGCCGCGACCCTGCAAGAGTGCAGCTTTTGGCAGGTGCCCTGCGGTGACCCTATTTATTCGGTGCTTATCTCATCAAAAAGTTCAGCAATTCAAATTCAAATTTCCTCTACCTTGCTTAATAATTTCTGAAGCACCTTCTAAACCTGATCATATCCCTTTAACCTGAAATGTTAACAGTATTTGCAAAGGAAGTTGACTGAATCTTAATAACCAAAAGATTTACCGGTACATAAATCCTTCTCTAGATTTAATTTTGTTCGTAATTCAATCAGATTCATAGGGGTACAAGAATGGAATTTGTTGAGTAGTGACATAAGAAATAGCACAACACTGTCTAGATCCAAAGCATTGTGCAAGTTACATTTATTCAAATCTTTAAATAATCTTGATCTCTTCCTTATATCTTTGCTCCATTCTGTCATGCGTGTACGAGTGTGTGTGTGTGTGTGCTTGTATATATTTGTGTGCATTTAAATTTCTATTTCTATTATAATGTACTTGCATGTAGGGTCCTGATTACAAGCAGTCTTCTCAGGGGCCCTGGCCATTATTACTTTTTATGTTGTTGTTCTTTGATATCATTCCTCTATTTTATTGATGTTTTTGTATATTTTGTTGTTTTCTAATGGTCAATAAATGAAATGAAATGAAATGAACGAAAATAACATTTTTTTTTTAAACTGACTACCTTTCATATCTCACTTCTAATGATGAAAACTGCAGCCATCATTATTGTACATTTATTTTGGGTTTTTTCATTAGCAATGATGAAGACGGGGAGACCAGATTCTTACTGGGACAATCTCCTGCGGTTATATGCTAGAAGGAAGCATTGTTTAGGTACAGGCCAAGGACCTGGGAGTAAGAGGTGGAAAAAAGTGAGGAATGATAGGGTTGAGGCCCTCAAGAATGCTGGGAAGCCAAAGACATCAGCTGAGGGCCAAAGATTTTTCTGGGACTGGTGAACTTGCCTAAGCTAGTCAGGAAGAATGAGCCGTTTGTTTGGGGTCCTGAACAGGACAAGAGCTTTACCCAAAATATGTGACCATGGACATCTGTTTTGCAAGAGTTTGCTTGATGCCCTCTCGCCTTATCCTTGCTGATCACAATATCGAACACTGCAATGTCATCAAGCTGCTAGGAGTGTTTATTCAGTCCAATCTCAAATGGGACACGCATGTAAACTCAATGATCCGTAGAAGCAACAGTCGCCTCTACATACTCCGCAGATTAAAACACCATGGCCTACCCCTCATGATCTAGTGACCATATACCTGAGCATCGTTCGACCCGTCTTAGAATACGGTGTCCCAAGTTCGAAGATCCGACAACTTCGACCAAGGCAATCAGATGAGCAATTGTGTTTAGACAAGGGTTCGGCATATTATTCCAGAACAGTGTATAATATGTAGAAGAGACAAAACAGCTGATAAGCATTTTACAAGGAAAATAAAAAAGGAGAAATTAACTCAGTGTGAAACAATTTCTGCAGGTAAGCTAGTACTTGCTGCAGAAATGCGCAAAGATGAGAAGATTCTGATAGAGATTTGTGGGAAGGACCTTGTCGCCTTGGAAGTGAGATATCACTTGAGCTGCTACAGGAATTATACAAGGTTTCTCACAAAGAAGGACAGAGAAGAAAACCTTGAGAAGAATTTGTATGAATAGTCTTATGATCATTTCTGTAAATCAATTGTAGATGTAAGAGTGATGAAGGGTCAGTGTTAATATTACAGATATTGCTTGCATTGTTCAAGAAGTGTGTGAAGGAGGTAGAGGGAAAGAAATCCCAAGTTACAAGTCTTGTAATTTAAAGCGAAGGCTTCAGAAGACCTTTCCTTCTCTGAAACTTCTTAGTCTTCTTCATAGTAATTCTAGTGATTTAGAATTTATAAAAGATTTGTCAATGCATGAGGTTGCAGAGGACGTGGTTCGTCCATTTTCATCAGACATGAGTACAGACGAGACTAATTGGCCCAGAAGGTGCAGGCATCCCTGCAGAAGCATGACGTGCGACTCAATGAGATGGAGCAGTACTCCAGGAGGGACAATATGCTGCGGGGGGTACCTGAGAAGGAAGGGGAGAAGACCAATGATGTCGTAATCGAGGTGATGGCGTCTACTGGCATAAAGGTGGTGGGGGCTGACATCAGCACCAGCCATAGGATAGGACACCCCCAGCCAAACAGGTCAAGGCCAATCGTCGCCAGATTTGTCCGCCGGGATCTGCGGACCGACGTCCTCTGCAACAAGAGGCAGAACTTTAAGTATACAGTAAGATACGTCAACCATGCTAAAAAAACAGTAAACGAATGTGTATCAGTAAATCACATTACATCCCTGACCAGGGCAGAGGAGAAGAAGAGGCAAGAAACGGCAAAAGAACACATTAATAGCAAATCGGCATGCATGTGTCCGGATAAAAATTGCCGGAGGTATCCAGCAGATGGGTGCAAGTATAATTTGAATTCTTTTTGTTGTCAAAAGCAGTGGCGGAGGTGCCACTTTCACAATGTGGTCCAAACTACGAGTACCGAGAAGCAACCAAGTCAAAAATACAATTTGTCCTCCCCAGGTGAAATACGAAGGGTATGTTTAGATTTTGTAAAAGATCTCCGTTTATCCATTAAAATGTCAAAATCAGACAATCAAAAGAATCTGGATTCGAACATAGCCAGTGCGGGCCTAAGGTATCGAGAACCTAGAACACCGGGGGATGGGAACTGTATGTTCCATGCTCTAGCGGACCAATTGGGATTGATCAGGAATGTTCAATTGAATCATGAGCAATTTAGGGTTCAAGTGATTGAATATTTGGAGGCTAATCAATACACTTCAGATGGCTCCCATATGAGTGAATGGATTCCTGACCAAGACTGGGAGAGTTATCTCATAGAGATGAGAAATCCCTTCAGCAGACCGATCTCCTATGCCATGATCTTAAACCTCAAATTAACGACATCAATGTTAGTTTGTCGTCGAGGTGTGATCAGATGGAGTCTACCATCATGAGCCTGGGGGTTGAAAAGGATGGCAAGATGAAGTCGATTGAGGCTCTTCAACAGGATTTGACCAACAAGAATCAGGTCATCTCTAAGCTTCAGACAGGGATGGACCACCTAGAGCAGTATTCTAGGCGAAACTCTGTTCGTGTCTTTGGTGTCCAGGAGAGCAGGAATGATAAAACGAGTGATATTGTTTCCGACCTTGCCAAGAAGTTCAGCGTTGCCGTCTCCCCCGCAGATATTGATAGGAGTCATCGGGTGGGAAGGAAACCTGAAGGAGGTGCTGCAAAGCCACGAGCAATTCTTGTTAAATTTTGCTCATATCATGCTCGAGAGAAATTCATCAGAAATCGTTGTCAGCTAAAGGGATCGGGAGTCACGATCAATGAAGACCTGACGGCCAAGAATTTCAAGCTCCTCCATGATGCCCAAGCCCAAGAAAAAACCTCAACAGCGTGGTCCACAGACGGAAGGATTATCGCTCTGGTTGAAGGAGAGAAGAAAGTCATAACAACCCAGCTGGATCTAAGCAAGCTATAGACTGTATTATCTCAAACTGTATTTGTCTCAGGTGCTAGGGTTAGTTGAGGCTCTTCATTCTTTTCATACAGTAGTCTAATAGTGGTGACGTTACTTCATATTGCTCAACCATGAGGCTATCTTATTTTTTTATGTTGCTCTGGTGTTTGCCCATGAACTTGGGTGTGTTCCACAAGCGTTTGTGCTTTTTAACTGCACTTCTCTTTTTAGTTAGAATAGGATATTTTTTCTGTTTTTCCAACATGTATAAATTTTTCTTTTTTGTAGAATCTTTTACACTTATTGCTATCAATGTGCGCTGGAGTGTTGATGGGATTGTGTGTGTGTATGCTGTGCTTGAAGTTGTGTGTGTGACTGATGAGTCCTTGACTGATTTGTCTATACTGGCGGTATTAACTTACATTTTTTGTGTATTGTGTTGATGTCTTTTGTGTTTATTACTACTCATACTGGTCATAATGGATGACGATCTGCAAGAAAATATTAATGTTTTAGTAAATGATTGTAATTTGATTGTGCTGATTTCCAGAGTAATACAGGAGGACATTTTGATATTTGCATGTAAATGCAAGAAGCCTGAACAAGATTTTTGAGGATCTGGTATTGCTCTTGTCCTGTCTTAAAAATAATTTCTTGATAATTGGTATATCAGAAACCTGGTCTAAGCCTTCCTCTGATTTAAAGGCATTCCAAGTCCCTGGTTATTCTTTCCTTCATGTTTGTCGTTCTGGTAAGAATGGTGGTGGGGTGGCCTTGTTCATAAGGGAAGGATTAGTCTTCAAACTTCGCCATGATTTGTCTGGCATTGAGCCAACGTACTGATTGAGAGTCTGAAGGGGTATGGGGTCGACATCCAATATCTTCGTGGTCAGGGTTATGACGGAGCAGCAGCAATGAGCGGCCGATTTAAAGGTGTGCAAAGTTACCTTTCGCAAAAGTGAAATTGGAGAAGAAGCAAGCAGCTGTCAATGTGAGACCGGCAAGAGAAGCAAATTGATGAGCATATTGTTAGCCTTGGCTTGCATAAAGCGCGTCAAAATATGGTGCATTTTGCAAACATTGTGTCTTGTTTGCACCAGTCAATATTGGAGGCCAACGACTCCAGGATTTCTAGTTGGGGCCCTATACCAATTGGAAGAAGGCTACCGAGAGCTTCTGAGCTCATGAAGCACTTGAGTGCCAAAAGCGATTTGCCGCAAGCGCAAGTCTATTGAAATAGCTGATGCAAAAGAGACATCCATACGGTATCAAGTGGAAAGAGCAGCTTAAAAAAAGGTCAAATACAATCGCAAAAAAAATTTGCCCCATCCTTGACACCACAGTTTTATGTGAAAGGCAAGGGCTAAAACTCAGAGGGCACTGAGATTCTGGCCTGCTAAATATAGATGAAGAACCGTTGGCGAATGAACGGAATTTTAGAGCTCTCCTCCATTATCGGTTGCAGGCTGCATGGTGACAAAGATTTGAAGAAGCACCTGGAAAATTGCAGTAGAAACTCTTCATACCTAAGACCAAGGATCCAAAACGAGATAGTCAACTGCTGCAACACCTACGGTACGTCAGACACAAAATTATAAAGTGGAAAAATGCTGCAAAGTGCTTTTCCATATTGGCAGACGAAACAACCGATGTGTCGAACGTGGAACAATTTTCCCTGAGTGCTAGATACTTCAACGAAAAGATGTGCGTTTAAGAAGAATGTGTTGACACACAGAGGCACAAACCTACCAAGATCTTAATACCGATGCTAAGAGCTACGAGAATCTTACGGACCCTCATACCTAACAACGAAGAAACACTGAAACTAAGAAAAGTGGAAAATGGAACAAGGATCAGAAAACTAGTTCCTCAAATGTAAAACATGAGGTCAAATCACAACCAAGTAAATAGCAAAAAAATAGGACACAGAAAAAATGTTTAGTTCCTGGCGATATTATGACTGTGTATAAAAAAGGAGGGTAAGGCTATGATAAGAAAGTGTCAAAGCCCATGACAATCATCTTTTTAGCGTCTGTCAAATAAAGCAATATGTAATTTGGCTCAAGTTCTTACTGGTACAATGAGATGAATTTGTTACATAACAAGGAAACTGAGGCCAACGACTCCAGAATTTAGTGAGGGGGCCCTACATCAATTGGAAGAAGGCTACTGGGAACTTCAGAGCTCATGAAAAACTTGAGTACCATAAGCGATGTGTGGCAAGCGCAAGTCACCTATTGAAAATAGCTGATGCAAAAGAGACATTCATACGGTATCAAGTGGATAGAGCAGCTAAAAAGAAGGTCATCTTGAATTTCTAAACCGATTCATTTTTTTCTTTTTTGTTACTCCTTCAGGTGATTTGGAAAGATCTATATGATGCTGCCTCTGAAGGTGATAAGGTAAACTTGCATGCTGCTTGGAACTTTCTGGAGGCAAGAAATGTCACCACTGACCGGAATCCGATGACCAATATCAATGGTGCTGCAGACCTCATTGAGAAATGCACAACTGCCCTCGTACTTGCTGCTGCAATGCAGTTCTTTGGACTTGCAGACTTGACTGATGAACCGACCAAGCACACATTCAATCTTGAGGAACATGGGGATCACAAGCAATATGCAGAAGCTGTCATGGCCAAGTTCTTTGACACATACATGCTCCTCGCAAGTCATGACATGAAGCTAGAGGACAAGGTGTTCCACTGTAGTAAGTGCAACAAGAAGTACATGACAACAAAAGGTCTTCTCCGTCATGAGAGGAGTATTCATCATGAGATTCCTGCAGCCTCAGAAGCACAGGATGGAGTTCTGAACTATCTCAAGTGTGTACTTGGAATGGGGATGATCGCTCTTGATTTCAATGATGCCAGGCAAGTAGGTGACGGAGGCCGTATCATTCAACTCTATAGATTGCTGTTGCTTCATTGTAAAGCTGGAAACAAACCAAAATACAGCTACCAGATTTTGCGATTTCTAGCACAAGTTAGTGCTTTCTAACGCCCAGATTAGCATATGAACTTATCTGAAACCACACCTTGAACACAAAAGGCCAAGCAGACAGTAATTCAGAGCTTGACAGATCATTGGAACACCGCAACAAGGCCGGATGACCTTTTCAGAAAGATAAATTGAAACAATCTGGCCTGTTTACTGAAGTCTCCAGCTAGGGAGTATACGGCCCTCTGTCAAATCTTTCAATGCTCAATCTTAATATTAACGGTTTAAAGAGTAAAGTTGACACTGGACTTTTGGATATATACTCTAAAAAGTTTGATATTATATGTCTCAATGAAACAAAAATGGATACACCCGATCTTTTAAATACTTACTTATCTGCAAATGAATATCATAGCATTCAATAGAGCTCAAATAAACAGAAGTTTTGTGGTTATCATTATATGTGTATTTTAATAAAAAAATTCCATTCTTGAGTGTTCTACATAAATTCAGCCTACACTCTGTACGTGTATGTTTTAAAGTCTATTATTGATGTTTATTTAACAATTTAAAAACGCCTTATTGAGCATTCATTGATTATAAGAAAGCCTTTGATTTGGTTGACCGTGCAGCATTGTGGGTTAGAATGTTTAAAATGGGAGTAAAAGGCAAGATTTTTAATGTTATAAGGAACATGTATAGGTGTGCTAAATCATGTGTTGCTAACAAGGGAGATATGTCTAATTTATTTACATGCAATATCCTTGACACCATAGTTTTATGTGGAAGGCAAGGGCTAGAACTCAGAGGGCGCTGAGATTCTGGCCTGCTAAATAAAGACGAAAGACCGTTGGCGAATGAAGGGAATTTCAGAGCTCTCCTCCGTTATTGGTTGCAGGCTGCATGGTGACAAAGATTTGAAGAAGCTGGAAAATTGCAGTAAAAACTCTTCATACCTAAGTCCAAGGATCCAAAATGAGATGTGTAAAGCGGATAAATGCTGCCAAGTGCTTTTCCATATTGGCAGACAAAACCACCGATGTGTCGAACGTGGAAACATTTTCCCTGAGTGCTAGATACTTTGACGAAAAGATGTGCGTTCATAAAGAATTTTTGCAATTTGTTCCGATATATGACCTGACAGAAAAGAGTCTGGCCAACGTACTAATTGAAAGTCTGAAGGGGTATGGGGTCGACTTCCAATATCTTCATGGTCAGGGCTACAACGGGGCAGCAGCAATGAGCGGCTGATTTAAAGGTGTATAGAGTTCACTTTCACAAAAGTTGACAATAGAAGAAGAAGCAACTGGCTGTCAATGTGAGCCCAGCAAGATAAGCAAACTGATCAGCATATTGTTAGCCTTGGCTTGCATAAAGCGCATCAAAATATGGTGCATTTTGCAAACATTGTGTCTTGTTTGCACCAGTCAATATTGGAGCCCAAAAACTCAAGAATTTAGTGACGGGGCCCTACACCAATTAGAAGAAGGCTACTGAGAACTTGAGAGATCATGAAAAACTTGAGTACCAAAAGCGATGTGCGGCAAGCACAAGTCATCTATTGAAAATAGCCGTTGCGAAAGAGAAATCCATACGGTATCAAATGGATAGAGCAGCTTCAAAAAAGGTCAACAAAATTTGCCCCATCATTGACACCATAGTTTTAATGGGTATACAAAATTGTCGCCAAAATCCACATACTATTTTCAGGTGCAGTCCCAAATGGGCATTGTGGGAGCAGATTTTTTTGAATTTTTCAGAAAAGGACATCAAAGACTATCTACAGTTCTTCAGAGAGACCTGGCCAAAAGAAACCAATCCCCCCAAGTTACATCTCCTCGAAGACCACACAATACCATGGCTGAGAAGGTGGAGAGCCCCACGGAGGCTGACGGGGGAGCATAGGAATAGGAATAGGAATATTACATGGTCTCTACAAGTATATGACCTGTCCGTCCCTTGATCAACCAGAAGAAGACTAATAATGAATCTTGACCTTCAAATTTCCAGCCTATTATGCTCTCAAAGCTTGTCAGAGCTTTGCGAACCTATTGTATTTCAGTGTATCATATGATTATAGTTTTAGCCTCATTCACGTTTGCATCCGATGTACACGTAACATCAAGTTTTCAAATTTTCATCCACCCTAACCATCCATAATATTTGTTAGCATAGGGGACATGAATTAAAACATGACTTGGCCTTTGCCGAAGTACAATGCGATACAAAAAGAAAGCGATTAATGAGATCGAGCAGTATTCCAGGAGGGACAATATCGTGCTGCGGGGGTACCTGAGAAGGAAGGGGATAAGACAAATGATGTAAAAGGTAAAAGATTGCCGTTGCTTCATTGTAAAGCTGGAAACAAACCAAAATACAGCTACCAGATCTTGCGATTTCTAGCAAAAGTTAAGTGCTTTCTAACGCCCAGATTAGCATATGAACTTACATGGAACCGCACCTTGAACACAAAAGGCCAAGCAGACAGTAATGCAGAGCTTGACAGATCATTGGAACACCGCAACAAGATATTCACAGAGCATTCTCGAGGACTCCATGGCAACGTGAAACAAGAGAGTGTGGACAGAATTAGCCGGTCTGCACAGGTGGTGCATGAAGCTTTTGACAATGTAGACCGACAACTGGAAGTGAGGGAAGCTTCTTCCAAGCATCAAAAAACTTGAAAGGTAGATGTGTCCTCTTTGGCTAAGGAGCTGCATCAAGAGAGAATGTTTGAAGAACAACCTGGCAGGAGCCACTTGAAATTTCCAGACTTCCCTGTTAGTGTTCTAAATAAACTGTCAGCACCAGAACTCCATTGTCAGAGAGGAGAGACATGGCGACAGTAAGCCTAGAGATCGAAGCCGTTCCCCTCTCCGAACCTCCTTTAACCAAATCAAATCAGCCTTTAGCCCGTATCAAAGACGCCTCACTACCCCGGATTTCATCACTCATCGCCTCACTCGCCCTATCCTTCCTGGATTTCACAGAGCCCGCTCACTTCCTTCCTTGACTCCTACCCCATCTATGATCTCTACAATTAAGGACACCATCCCGGTGGACATTGATGACTGTATTACACTTGCACCTTCCCCGGAAACCCAACCTTGAAAGTTGCAGTAGAAATTCTTCGTACCTAAGTCCAAGGATCCAAAACGAGATAGTCAACTGCTGCAACATCTATGTCAGACATAAAATTGTAAAGCGATTAAATGCTGCAAAGTGCTTTTCCATATTGGCAGACGAAACCACCGATGTGTCGAACGTGGAATTTTTCTCTCCAAGTGCTAGATACTTCGACGAAAAGATGTGCATTCATGAAGAATTTTTGGAATTTGTTCCGATATATGACCTGACAGGAAAGAGTCTGGCCAACGTACTGATTGAAAGTCTGAAGGGGTATGGGGTCGACTTCCAATATCTTCATGGTCAGGGCTACAACGGGGCAGCAGCAATAAGCGGCCGATTAAAAGTTGTACAGAGTTCACTTTCACAAAAGTTCACAATAGAAGAAGGGGTACGCAAACTGATGAGCATATTGTTAGCCTGATGAACCGACCAAGCACACATTCAATCTTGAGGAACATGGGGATCACAAGCAATATGCAGAAGCTGTCATGGCCAAGTTTGTTGACTCATACATGCTCCCCGCAAGTCATGACATAAAGCTAGAGGACAAGGTGTTCCACTGTAGTAAGTGCGACAAGAAGTACATGTCAAGAAAAGGCCTTCTCCGTCATGAGAGGAGTATTCATCATGGGATTCCTGCTGTCGGTAGGGCTTCAAATGGTGCAGCCTCAGACGCACAGGATGGAGTTCTGAACTATCTCAAGTGTGCACTTGGAATGGGGATGATCGCTCTTGATTTCAATGATGCCAGGCAAGTAGGTGACGGAGGCCGTATCATTCGACTCTACAGATTGCTGTTGCTTCATTGTAAAGCTGGAAACAAACCAAAATACAGCTACCAGATTTTGCGATTTCTAGCACAAGTTAGTGCTTTCTAACGCCCAGATTAGCATATGAACTTATCTGGAACCTTGAACACAAAAGGCCAAGCAGACAGTAATGCAGAGATTGACAGATCATTGGAACACGACAACAAGATATTCAAGGAGCATTCTCGAGGACTCCATGGCAACGTGACACAAAAGAGTGTGGACAGACTTAGCCGGTCTGCACAGGTGGTACATGAAGCTCTTGACAATGTAGACCGACAACTGGAAGTGAGGGAAGCTTCTTCCAAGCATCAAACAACTGGAAAAGAAGACGTGTCCTCTTTGGCTAAGGAGCTGCATTAAGAGAGAGACGTGTCCTCTTTGGCTAAGGAGCTACATTAAGAGAGAGATGTGTCCTCTTTGGCTCAGGAGCTACATTAAGAGAGAGACGTGTCCTCTTTGGCTAAGGAGCTACATTAAGAGAGAGACGTGTCCTCTTTGGCTAAGGAGCTGCATTAAGAGAGAGACGTGTCCTCTTTGGCTAAGGAGCTGCATTAAGAGAGAATGTTTGAAGAACAACCTGGCAGATCGAGCGTCTTGAAATTTCCAGACTTCCCTGTTAGTGTTCTAAATAAACTGTCAGCACCAGAACTCCATCAATGGATCTATAGATCAATGAAGACATTCTCACGTCAACATCAATTTGCACCTAATTGACTACACACTGATCCAATGAACTTGATGCTACAAGTGAATTTGTCCTTGTTTCTCTATGTCTAGAGAAAAAGTATCTTCAATTTGAGCACATACTATATATGTACATGTAGTCCACTTACCGGTACATGGATATTGAATCTGCAATGTTTCTTTAAGGGGAAGTCCACAGATATATGTATTTATGTTATGTAAAGAAACTTGTTACAAAATAAATTTTCAGTGTCATACATGTATAATTATGTGTTTGAGATCATTTTTGTTAGTTAAAATTTTGAAGAAAAGAAATAGCTGAATAGAGCAATTATGGAGGTTTGTAGTCGTGTGGATGAATATTGATTGGCAAGTGTGTATAATATAGTTACCACTAAAATGCAGATTTCAATTGGCTTTACACTGATTAATGCATTTCCATACCTCTCTAAAGTAATTGGTTCTTTCCTCATAAGCAATCCACATCTTAGCGGAGGAATATTACATGTTCTCTACAAGTATAAGACCTGTCCGTCCCTTGAGCAACCAGAAGAAGACTGATAATGAATCTTGACCTTCAAATTTCCAGCCAATACTGTTTCGACAAAGACATCTTAACATAAATTGATATGTAAGAACTTAAGGTGTTTAATTGTAATAACTTGATTGTAGGGGTAAAGGGCTAACCTCCAACATCTTCATGGTCAGGGTTATGATGGAGTAGCAGCAATGAGCGGCCGATTAAAAGGTGTACAAAGTTACATTTCACAAAAGTTGGCAAAAGGAGTAGAAGCAACTGGCTTTCAATGTGAGCCCCGCAAGATAAGCAAGCTAGAGAGGGAAGGGTATAAATGATGTCATCAGAAATTCTTTCAAGAAAGTAGGAAATCAGTGGATGGTCCCATATCCATGGAAGAGAGACCCAAGGCAGTTACAGAACGGGGAAACTGAGGCAAACGACTCCAGGATTTTGTGACGGGGCCCTACACCAATTGGAAGAAGGCCACTGAGAACTTAAAGGATACCTGAAATAGAGACACGTCTATTTTGAAAAGTATGGCATTTATATCGATTTTTTCATTGTGGATTCGAATCTGGCAGGTGTTTGTGTAGTGGAGGCTGTGCTCCTATGCCGAAAGTGGTGGAGTCGATATGTTGCAAGGAAGTCGAGCGGGTGGTCACCAAGATGGACAATTATGAAGAAGCAGAACTAGACTGCATAACAGCCCACCCTGGATTTGCCGCTGTTTGCTTAGATAGATGGGTACTCGAAAAGTCACTACCTAATTGAAAATAGCTGATGCAAAAGAGACATCTATATAGTATCATTGACACCATAATATTAATGGATATACAAAATTGTCGCCAAAATCCACATACTATTTTCAGGTGCATTCCCAAAAGGGCACTGAGGGAGCAGATTTTTGTGATTTTGTTTTGTTCACACTTCCTTTGGTTCTCATTTGGAAAATGTTTTATTTGATTCAGTGCTGTTTTCAGAAATGGCTGCAAAAGCTGAATATTTTTGGCGTAGACATCTATGTCCTGTGTTGTTACAAGGGTTCTTGCAGAATCAAGACATCACTGACCATTCATATGCTATGATAAGCCATGTTCAACAGTTCCAATTCTCATATGGACCGTCAGTGGCGTCAGTGATGAGGTGCCGTACATAGAACCTCTCAAAGAGCACCATACAAAGAGAATGAAGCGGAGTGCCAGAAAAAGACCACCCTTTTCCAGAGGACAATAAGCGAAACCTAGAATTTCAGCATTGGTGGCTTCAGCGTTGGCCTTGGCTGGCAATGCAGCGTATTCCAATATCGTGCATTTTGCAAACATTGTGCCTTGTTCGGGCCAGTCAATATTGGAGGCCAACGACTCCAGAATTTAGTGACGGGGCCCTACACCAATTGGAAGAAGGCTACTGGGAACTTCAGAGCTCATGAAAAACTTGAATACCATAAGCGATGTGCGGCAAGCGCAAGTCGCTTATTGAAAATAGCTAATGCACAAGAGACATCCATACAGTGTCAAGTGAATAGAGCAGCTTAAAAAAAAAGGTCAAAGAAACTGGCAATAGAATTCGCCCCATCATTGACACCATAGTATCAATGGATATACAAAATCCATTCTCATTTGGAAACAGTTTTTGGCAAATTTTTTATTTGGTTCAGTGCTGTTTTCAGAAATGGCGGCAAATGCTGAATATTTTTGGCGTAGACATCTATGTTCTGTGTTGCTACAAGGGTCCTTGCAGAATCAAGACATCACTGACCATTCATATGCCATGATAAGCTATGTTCAACAGTTCCATTTCTCATATGGACCGTCAGTGGCAGATGAGGTGCTGTACATAGAACCTCTCAAAGAGCACCATACAAAGAGTATGAAGCGGAGTAGCGAAGAGGCAGTTCAACATCACATCATCTACAAAAAGAGCATCATACGAAGAGGATAAAGAGGAATGGCAAAGATGCAGTTTAACCTTTGAAAAGTATTGCAATGCAAACGTCTAAATTGCCCCATGTTTTTCTGTGTGGAGTTTGTGGCCTAAACACATAAAGAATCCTCTCACAGATTTTGACAATGGTCTGAAATGCATAGTTTGCCAGGTTTCTTAACATATAGTATATGTTGGTCTTACAGAAAGTGACGTTCCAAGGAGTAAGTGACGTTCCTGGTAAGTGGACATGTGATAAATGTGTACATTAAATGTGTGCAGTTTCTAAACGAGGGCTTACATATTTAGACCAGAGCTACGCTCAACATTAGAGTTGGTGATTGCTATGCAAGGAAAAAGGAAGAATTTAGGGAAGATTTTCTTCTTTTCCCTAACCTTTCATAGAGCTTTGAGCATGATTGTTACACATTATGACCAGGTCATGACTAGCATCCTAAAACCATATGAGTTGTACCAGAAGCGTACCAACAATTTCACAAAGAGCGTGATGAAGACTCACAGTCTCATTTAGAGTCTGCAGTACTAAAACAACAGCTGTTTGACCGATGGAGTAAGTCTCTCCAGGCTAAGACTTCTGACGATCTGAGAGAAATACATCTTCTCAAAGAATTCAACCTGAGCATGTGTATGGATGTTCAAATATATCTTGAAGAACAAAGACTTGAAAGTCTCCATGTAGGAGCAAGAATTACTGATGGCTATGTGTTGACACACAGAGGCACAAAGGCACAAACCTACCAAGATCTTAATACCGATGCTAAGAGCTACGAGAATCTTACTGACCCTCATACCTAACAACAAAGAAACACTGAAACTAAGAAAAGTGGAAAATGGAACAAGGATAAGAAAACAAGTTCCTCATGTTATGGAATAGCGCCATCTGTGGCGAGGCACAGTGTAGTGCACAAAATGGATCCAGATTAAATGGCTAAACCCAAAGTAACTCAAGATTGTAAGCCTCCGATATTGCTTGTTGTGATTCTGTAATGTAGTTATAAGTTACAGTAGGAACAGAAGACACAGCATATCAAAACACAGGGCTGCCAACTCTCACGCAATCTGCGTGAGTCTCACGCAATTCACCCAATTCTCACGCTCTCACGCTGATCATAGGAATTCTCACGCTGAACCCCGAAAATAGAAACTAAAAAAAAAGAATGTCTATTATATAGGATATTCAATATCCCTGCCGAAAGTTTCAACATGTTTTGAACCACACATGCGCAAAGCTAATCCATCAATGCAAATTGGTTTCGGTTTGCCGCGCAAAGACAAGATAGTGAATTGCGATTGGCTTATCCTGCGTGTGCGAGTGACGTTGTCACTTTACTATGAAGCGAGGTTTTTTTTTGTGCGAGACATGACAAGCGAGTGTCGATGCCATGGCCTGTCATCGCTGTACATCGCGCCCGACCCCCAGCCCGGCCCGGCCCGGGTGGCTCAGTGTTTGCGATCGGATAATGGGCCTGGGCCGTCCTCTTTAGCCCTCTACGACCAGATCGGCCATATGGTACAGTACTTCAGGCTTCAGCCGGTACAGGTGAGTTTAAACTCTTGTCTTGAAATATTGAAATTCATACTACTCGCGGGACATTAAACTGACTGTTGGAAGGTGGCGACATTAGTGAAACGCAGGTTAAAAAGTTCCTTGGTGGTGTAAGGAGCTTCTTCTGTGAGGCAGTTTCATACGCCCTCTCACGTCTCCCCCTTGATGAGCCGGTCCTACAACATGCTACCTTCGTTGACTGGCACCAGAAGATGGAAGCGTCAATTGATGATGTGCTCTTCTTCATTGACAGGTATGTCAATATTGCCATATCAAAAATGCAGAGATGCCTGTCTTAGTCTTTAATTTTAAATCAAATCAGTCTATGATTTGAATCTTGAGATATTGTTACTTCAGATCTGAGATTTCATTGCAAAATAAAACAAATACATTTTCAGAATGTGCATTTTTATCTCTCATAATAATGCTAATAGGCAATAATAAAGAGGTGTATTTTTGTTTCAGGTTTTTTTTTTGCGTTTCATTTCTTTTTTATTTTAGGTTCCAGCATCTACTGCCCTTTAATAGTCCACGAGATCAGGACAAGGTGCAAGAAGAGTTTACTGACTATCAGATGATGTATGAGGTGTCTTTCAAGCAGTGAAAGGAGTTTACTTCTACAGATGCAGAAGCTGAATTTCTTAGAATTGACAAGCTCTGGGTCCACCTTTCTTCGCTGAAGAACGAGGTAACGGGGCAGCCGAGGTTCTTGAGGCTCGCTAAGGTGGCTCAGCTGGTGCTCTGTCTTCCCCACAGCAATGCTGATGCTGAGAGGGTTTTTTCGTCCATCGGTCTAAACAAGACAGAGACCAGGAATGCCCTCCACTTAGATGGAATGCTCAGCTCCATCATGACAATCAAGATGGCAGCATCGGAGCCCTGTTACAGGTTTGAACCACCAGCAGAGGTACTGAGGGCATCGCGGAGCGCAACCTCCAGTTACAACAAATCCCACTAGATTAACTGGATGAGAGGAAAAAGTAAATGGCTTTGCTAATTGACACCCAGTATGGACAGACATCATAATGATCACTTGTTCAAGTATCATCTTGGGAAGCAGCAGGATTCATTTATGAAAGTCGAAAATGGACTGAATGAAAAGTGGCAAACAGACTCAGTTAATACGGAATGGACTCAGTTAAAATGAAGATGTTTAATCTTGTCAATGCATCTAAAATTCTCTTGTTTTATAAACAAAGGAGGATGTTATGGAATAGCGCCATCTGTGGTGAGGCACAGTGTAGTGCACAAGATGGATCCAGATTAAATGGCTGAACCCAAAGTAACTCAAGATTGTAAGCCTCCGATATTGGTTGTTGTGATTCTGTAATGTAGTTATAAGTTACAGTAGGAACAGAAGACACAGCATAACAAAACACCTCAAATGTAAAAGATGAGGTCAAATCACAACCAAAGAAGAAAATAGGACAAAGAAAAAATCTTTAGTTATGTGCAATATTATGACTGTGTTATAAAAAGGAGATGTAAAGCTATTGTACCTAGCATTTAGAACTAGTGCACGTATGTTGTACATAGTTTGTCATTGTACTCTCAAGTATATCTTTAAGGAAGGGGTGTTACGAGGGCGAGGTGAGAGAAAATCACGATGAAATTTTTGAACACACAAACAATCTGATGATGACTGGGTTGTTTTGGACGTCCTGTCACACACTTATCTTCACAGAGGAACCAAGCTGTAACATACTGTAACCGCACAATATAAATTCATCTTTTAGTTCTTAATAATACACAAGGCCTAGAACTCCTCTACCCGCATTTATTGGTCTTCAAACAGCCTCCACCCCCATGTAGGAATAACCCTGATGGCCTTGGGAATCTACACCTGTGAACACCATATCGTGGTGAGTCGCCATGTGAGATGCTCCTCCAGGCTCAAGTGATGATCCTTTCCTATGAGATGGGCACCCTTTTGTTTTCTGTGATGGCCTATGCAAAGGAGATGCTGCAGGTCATCATCTTCATCTGCCCAGCGTTGCAAGGAGAACGTGCTGAGAACTGGAACTTGCATCATGAAAGCAGCAATGTCAGCGCTGTAAGGGATAAGAAAGCAATTCAAGCGACTTAAAATGCTAAATTTATAGTGGAGTTTAACATTTTAGGTGAAGAAAGCACTATGTAGCATATACTTTGAACAAAATATTTTGCACCTTTATGCATGAACAAAACTTTTTACTGAAGCTCTTTCTCTTTGAAAAACAAAAAAAGTAATATTTCTTATTGTACTTTTTTTAAAGGAAAAGGAATACAAGAGCTTGTAATTACTATAGGCCTGTAAATAGATTCCAAAGTTTGTTTAATAATTACGGACATGTTGAAGGGGAAATTAACGTTAGATATAAACTTTGAAAGGGAAAAAATAATACCTTTCAGGTCCAGACATTGACTTTGCCATCCCAGCTGCAGCTGGCTAGGACACCAGGCAGGACTGGGTGCCAGGCCACATCAGTACACGCCCCATCCTGCTGCCCCAGGCCCCCTCCAAGGGTCTTGATCAGCTTGGTGCTTCCGTAGCTATAGATGTGAACCTTGCCATCAGAGCTACCACTGGCCACCAGACTGCCATCAGGAGAGAAGTCACAACCAATTCTGTACCCTTCAACCTGCAGTGCAGAAGAGAGATGGGTTGCTATACTATGAAACATGCATCATCAAGGTAGACAAATTCTTCTTTCTAATTTTAACTCCACTGTTTTTCATTTACATGGACAGCTTGCAATTGTTAACAAATGGTAATTTGCACAAGCTAAAGAGGTTGGCATTTGGCACCCATTCATACTGACTCAATCCACTTAATGGCTCATTCACATTTTCTACTGTAAGCGTTTTAAAGCAGCATATGTGAACAAGCCTAAAATAGGGTTTAGACTTGGCCTGAGTTAGCTCACTTTCAAGAAGACTGGCCTACGAGACAATAGAAAACACCCACCTGGTGACCTTCAAAGCGCCTGTATTTGTTGAGTCGGTAGGGCCTCTTCGTTGAGAAAAGAGCAATATAGTTGGCATTGGACTGAGCCATGAAGACACTGTCTGTAGGATGAGACCTCAAGCTGCAGCAGGTGTACTTCTCCTGAAGTAAGAGGAAGAGAAATCATCACCAAAGCATGAGCTTTAAATCTAAATCAATCATATCTATCATATCAAATATTACAAGAGACATTGGATTGAGAACATATTACCAATAAAGCAGGTAGACCCTGAAACATATGGAAAGGGAAAACTGTGCCAGTGACAATTTTGCTTCTGAACATATGTTGGCTATAAATTTCATTACTATGGAAGATTTTACTTTTGCTTTACTATGTAAATCGAAAGAGGGATTCAATACAGTCAATACATGGATACAAAACACTTCAGTTCTTAGATTCAATGGAATATCAAACTTACATGGTAGAGTTGATTTGAGAGTAGAGCAGCAGTCTTTGAATCCCACACCATGATGGTTCTATCAGTAGAGTCTCGACTGACAGTGTCACATGTAGCTACAAACTCAGTACCATTGTTGATGAACTCCACTGCGAGGATCTGACCAAGTTTGCCTGCATATTGATGAGCAACCTAAAAGATTAAAGATAAAGGTGAATTCTGGTAATGCGATTGCATTGTGAAAGAAAAGGTGTGGAATGGATCAAAAAACTGTTGATCATGTAGCATGTAAGTATAGGTGTGCACTGCAAGGTTCTGGAGTCATCAAAAACATAATAAATTTGGCAGAGTCTTGGTAAAGTAACAAGCACTGTACACAGAAAGCTATATATGGGACAACACACATGATGTAGGGGCTAGTACTACCTTGATTTCCTTGTCTTTCTATGCTCATTACTCAGCCAGTATACATTTTCTTCCAAAATTGTTTGGCACATGTCATTTATTTGTAATCTTGAACATTCAGTGTAAGTTTCGTTTGATTCTGTGAGAATTAATTTTCTTTTTTTTTTACCAGAACTGGAGTTTAATGTCACGGTGGATAAATGGAATAAAAATCATTCCTTTCAGCAATAATTTCTTTACTTATTTAAGCTGACAGTGGCTTATATCGTTTGGACAAGTTCCCATTGAATATTATTTCCTTTATTTCAATATGTCATCAGGTTTGACTTCAAGGATAATCTCTTCAATCCTCTGCAAACATAATATTGACAGTAGAACTTTGTGGAGATTCTTTTGCATTCTTGACAAACAATGACAATTATAAATACCATATTGGAGGAATGAATATATGTAATATCAGGATCGATGAACGTTCAACCTATCACTTTATTAAATCATTAGTTCTTCTCAGGGACAGAATATTTAATTGATTACTACACAATACAATCTACCAGCAAAAGCATTTTCTTGATGACTTACAAAACCAATTTAAAAAAAAAAGAATATTACTCTATTTACATTGGTTTCACTTACAGAGCCTGTTCTTGTATCCCAGCAGTACATAGTGGAACCGTACGATCCACTAATGAACATCTGAGGGTCGGTAGGATGCCATTTGATGCATGTCACATATGATGAATGGTCAAAGACCTGGAAATTTGTTCCTATATTTGAAGGATAAAGATACAAAGCAATAAAGAAAGGGAAATTCACATAACTGTTATGAGACGGAATCACTTTTCAAAATGTGAGAACAATCTCAAACAGGATTTTTGTTGGAAAAGTGTATAGACTTTGTATTTTTCTGTACCTATCATAATACCAACAATGTAGAATTAATATTTCACTAACATTATTCTACAAAATGTATTAAGGGTTTAATTATAAACAGCTATGACTTGGACATAATAAGAATAGTAAGATATTACGTAATACGATCAGGAAAATGATAGAAGGCTGTAAAAGATTAAAAGGGGATATCATATTTATCAAATGTGCCACAAATATCAAATCAACACTAATAAAAAAATATATACACAATATATATTTGCTGTAATTTTAAGGAAAGTTCACATGACTCTCTAAAGAAAAAGTAGGGGAAAAAACAAACAATTTCTGATACTCTTTGAAAGATTACAAAAACGATAGAAAGACTAACCACTCCGAGCATCAGAGAGTCGAGCCGTCTTGTCAAACCCACAACTAAGAATGAGCTGACCATCTGCATTCCACTGTGCATCTTTCACTGCCCCCTCATGACTTCTCAGGGTCTGCACACACTTCCTCTGAGTAGAATAGTCCCATACCCTTACAGTCTTATCCATAGAGCTAGACAGCAAGAGATGACTGAACTGTGGAATGTTCCATTCAACATGGGTAACAGGTCCCTCATGGAGAACAAAGTTGCAAAAGAGGCGTTTGGGTGGTTTTGAACCGGTCTTGGGTTGTTCAATGTTGGATTCAATGACAGGGTCAGCTGTATAAAAGTCAGGGTTTTCCTTTTTTGTCCAATGGCCATGTCCTTGATGGTCATCTGAGCTACCGTCATTGGACTTTCTTAACCTTTTGGGGACATAGGGCATCAGTCCAGATCCCTGACCTTGTCTTTTCATATTTTGTTCCTGTCTCTGACATTGTTGATTGAGCTGTGGATCCTGCTGATTCACAGGCACCTGATGTTGCATACTTTCTGGACTTTGTTGATATCCTTGTGGTCTTTGGTTTCGCTTGTCAAAAATTATCTCATTTTGGACTCTGCCGTCATACTGGTGATTCAGAGGAGGGGGTTGTTGCCAGAAGTCTCTGACCTCTTGACCTTGCCAGCCATCAGTCCGATGATTGGGTAAAAGATGATGTTGACGAGAAACAGATGATTTCTCTTTCCTCGTTATCCCATAAATGCTTCTATTGGATAGTTTATCACTTTCTGGTTTGTGGACATGCAGGAAAGTACTATATCCTCTCGTTTCATTGACTGAATGAAACCTAGACTGTTCGTTGCTGACAGATTCTTGAAGTGCAATTTTCACTCTGGGATGCCTGTTCCTGTTCCGGGGTCTGGGATAGAAAGAAAAATATTGTACAAAGATATACTTTCATCCCTACCAGTGCGTAAACAAACTTAATTAATACACAATAATCTTACTAAAAATTACCCCCTTCACAGGTGGCTTTCTTGCCAGGAGTTTTATTTGACCTGACACACTTCTTAAGTCAAGATGATTGACTATGCTAAACAAACTGAGACTGATCTAGCCATCTGCATCATCATGATCATTGTCATCATCATCTTCTGCTTCCAGTGCAATTAAAGTAGTCAGTAGGCTATATCATGTTTTTTAAAAAAAATGCTATTTCATCTGCACGTATACACTCAAGTGCAGTCTACGATAATACCGTACAATCCTCTGGGTAGAGTATCTTATTTTTGTGCAGAGCTGTGAACTAGTGTGCCATGCTGCATGTCGTCTTCATTGCAAACTTCATATCAAAATTTCTGACAAGAATATTAAACACTAACAATCATCTCAATCACACATTGATCGATCATTATAATTTATATTAATTATAAGCATCACAACTTCAAAGATAACTCTTGTTTCATCTGTATAAAAACATATTTCAAAATCTACTATCTTTCACTGTTCAAGGCAAAAGCTTCTATAGTTCATGTTTCTACACCCCCCCCCCCCCCCCAACACACGCCTACCCATTCCATTCCACGCTCCGATAGGCGATACCATATACGCGCGGTTTAGAAGTAACAAAATGTCCAACGTGAAACCTTACGAGTCGGACATGGGCTCATTATAGCTTTGATCTCAATAATACTTTAATGCTTATGATCGCATTACAGGAAAGCAATTTTTGAGGGAAAATACCTTTCATGAAATGCTTCATCACCACTTTCGCTATCTGAGCTTGCATAGGATTGGATTCTGTCCATTTCCAGAGTCTGTGATGATCATTTTCTCCAGAAGGAAATAGACGCCCATCCGTAAAAACGTACTTTTTCCAGAGCGATCGTTTCACACAACGCCCTCAAGCGTTGCATTTTATCGCAAACTAGGCGTTGTGGCGTGCGCCTGTAATCCAGCTATCAGTGGAAGTTACAAACTGATTCAGCCGAGAACGCAGGTTCGAAACTGAGTCACGTCTTTCGGATGGTGACGTTAAAAGTCGGTCCCCAGACGTAAATAATCATATCTGATTGATACACGTCTGTAAAAACCCAAATACACACACACACACAGTATTATAACAAATTATGGCAAGCAGAATGGGACAATGCAGAACACGGTAGATTTTTATATGCTTTGCATAGCGACGTTTCAAAGCCCATACATAGACAAGGCCTATCTCGCAGAGAAGAATGCTTGATACAACAACTAAGAGTAGGTAAATGTAGTTTAAATTATTACCTTTTTCAAATTAACCAACACGATACTGGTCTTTGTGAAGTTTGTCAAGAAGATGAAACAATTAAACATTTTATTTTCTATTGTACAAAATACGACAAAGATAGACGTCTCTTAAAAGAAAGGATTAAATTGAACAACCCCAATCTGAAACAATTATTGATGTCTAACCCAATTTTTACTCGTGAATTATTGGGTTACATATACGATACTAATCGTTTTAGATAGCTTTTAAAGCTATCAGGGATCCCCTTAACTTATGTCGATCCTGTAATAATAATATATAAAATGAAGTATTTGCGGTTTTTCCATGAACAATTGCAACTAACTCCCATCTCGCCTTTTATGTGCATTTTATGCAATTTTGATATTGCAGCTTTTTTTTTTTTTATAAAACCATATCACTATTAATTTCATTTCACCAAGGAAAGTCGCTCGTGGGCTTGATTTCCGAAGCCCACGCCAAAGCTATACACGAAATTGACTGGCGCAAATAATCTTTGAGATTGAAGAGCGCCATCTAAACGAAGAACCAACCAACCAACCAGTAGGCCTATTTAAAAAAAAAAAAAATCATTTAAGTCTATATAGTTATTTATTTATTTGTTTGTTTATTTATTTGTTTATGATTTCTGTTATTTATTCATCTGTTTATCAAATTATCAAATTATTTATGTATTTATTTATTCATTTATGTTTATATTCTTTTATTCATATATCATATTATTTTCATACAATGAACATCACTGATGTGGAGCCCCCCCCTAGGAATACAAAGGTTTTCAAATAATAGTGGAGTGCACATACACATTTCAGTGGGCAGAGCGCTAGTTGAAGATAAATAAATATAATTTTTTTTTAATGCGGCGCATTATCAGCTGAATGTCCCTTCATCTTTTTTTTTTTTTTTACATTTGATCCTCCCCCCCCCAAAAAAAAAACAACAACAACAACCCATTCCTACCATTTCCAGAGAGAACCAAAAATAATGTCAAGACAGAATGCACAAACTTGTATTTCATCTCTGTTACAAACATGTATGATCGAGGCTTTGCGTCTACTGCTTGCTGCTTTTACCATTCCTGTGAGGGGGGGGGGGGGGGGGGGGGTGTTAAGGTTTGGAAATTTCGACCTTCAATTTCGACCTCCAATTTTCTGTCAATCCTGGATTCCTGAAACCGCCCTGAGCAAGCCTGTCTATGACAAATCTAATTGTCTTTCCACCAGCATCTCTTTTTTTTTAATTGCCACTGAATCGCCACTACTAGTACTACAGCGCACCCCCCCCCCCCCTTGTGAGGGGAGGTGGTACAGTTGTTTTTGTGTTGTTTTGTTTTGTTGGTGTGTGTGTTTTTTTCTTCTTTTTACTCTTTTGATTTCCTTGTTGTTGCTGTTTTCAGTGTTTTGTTTGTTTTTATTTTGGTCTATTCTCTGATCCTGAAAACGGGAAAGGGAGAGGAGGATGCTAATTAGACCCTGTACCGAATACGCCTCCTGTTTCTGCACGCAGTATCTGCATCTCACTTCACGAACAGAGTGTTGACACATTATTATTATTCTTGACATTTTGAATTATGCTTTTGACCGAAGGTTATAAGACCTTTATAACAATGCCATTGCATAGAACCAATGCTTCTTTCATATACATCCCGATCAAGGGGCTCAGCTTCTGTACAACACCGCTGTTGTATCGATTAATGCTACGCTTTAATTGAAACAGGTCCTCCGAATACAAATATCAATGATACCCCTCTCGCCTTGATAGTTCGGCGTTCACGTGAAATTAAGTCGAAAGGTGATGCTTAGGGCATCTCATAGTATTCATCATTTTTGGTAGCCTGAGACAAATGCCTAATGTCCATTAATGTTCTAGTAATAAACACATTGACCTAAATCCTTTGCTTGCTTCTTCAATCATTTTGTTCACATAATTATATGGATCATGTATTGCATGGACAACTGAATGTGTGAAACAGATGGAGAGAGAGAGAGAGAGGGGGGGGGGGGGGGGAGAAAGAGAGAGAAGCCAGGTTTGGTGTGGGGGTTAGGTGAATTGACAATATTTTTGTTATTCTCGTACAATTCATCAATCAGATTTCGAATGGGTTCAAATTGGGTAAGTCAGTTAATGCTTAATTGATATTGTGAAAGTAGTTGATAGGGGTAAATGGAGGGGATGCGGCTATACATACGTCCAGTACGCTTTAAAAGGAAGAATGGTAACTAGTAGGTATAAGTAAGTGAACAGATCGGCATATAATTAGTTTTGGATGCCTGAAATTTGTCATAACATTACATTTTATGCAATTGCTGTTTGTCGGTAAACAGTACATACAGCAAAGATTTAACAAAATTGAACGAACCCAATCATCAATGTTTTACCTTCACGCAAATTGAAAATATTCAAATTTTTCATTTTATTATAAAACTCACGATCATACCATTGTTGGTATATCAACGTTTGATGAAGTAAACGAGAAGAGATATACAAAATTATGATAATAATTATGATAATAATGCAACAAAATAGATAATATTAATAACAGATAGATGTTTTTACTTCACAAAGATCATTTTTGTCTCTCCTTATTTGCGCGCGTGTCGACTCGCGCATTGGGTGACGGTTTAATAATCATAATATAAAAACCTGTATGCATTCCCACACTCATTTGCATACCGCATGGCGTTTTTTATTGACCCCCTGTACAAACAACCAACGATCGGTGTATCATTTTGACTCTTTGACGCTGTCCCTCTTAGGAATACCCGAGGAGTCAGGGGCTGGAGCCTCGATACACCCAACTGATTTACGCATGTACAAGATATTCTGATCAGAACCAAGTAAAAGGACTTACAAGGGTTTCAATTCTTAATATTTGATATCGACAAAACTGTATTCACCTCAGTTTTGTGTCGGATGTTCACGAATAAAAGAAATGTCCTATTTGAACGAAGTGAATTAATTCGTCTTTCTGGACACCAAACAAACTCATTTGGAAAGTGAATAAATGCATGCAGGATATTTTGCCATCAACATCATAAACAGGAAGAATCGACTTTGGGAATGATACAAAGTTGGTATCCGTGAATGTCAACAATAAACACATGAAAAGTGGAAATAACACGCTAGCCATGATGGGATTGCATTGGAGATTTAGAATGCTGGCTTTTGTCGGATTTCTTCTCGCTATATATTTTCAGGTAAAGTATTCTGATATTACTACCATTCATAAATATCTTGTAATATGTATTCATTTCTGTCATATTCCATTTCAAATTTTTGAACATTGTCGCTATTCTAACTTTTTGTGTTAGAATAATTTTGAATAGGTCCAGTTATATATTTTGGCAGCATTGACCTCCATGGAGCATGCATATATGGGTCTTATATAATTATAAGGTGGATTGAGAGCGAGAGTTGGACACATTAACTTGGTTTCGAACCTGGGACCTATAACTTATATGAGACCACTGCGCCACCACTGAGCCATCACGTTCCTTGTGTTGATATACAATAATTGATATCATGTGATCATAACATTCTGACGCACTTTATTGATTGACATAAGAAATCGATCGCTTGAACGTCATCAATGTTATCATTGACCCAGTTTGTTTAGATGCTTCAATCATCATGCATATCAACATTGTGTTCTCTGTTAATTATGCTAAGTGACAATGTATTAGTGAAATGTCTAAATTGTTGTACTGCCAATCAAATTCATAATCTCGGGCCTTTAATGTGGTTCTCCAACACTTTTTTCATTAGGCCTATGTTCAAGGAAATAAACTCATTATATTTTTTTATTCTTCATTTCTATATACTCTTTGTTTATTATTTTGCACATAAATATTCCCCCTATCAAGCCTTTCATTTATACTATCTTTTAAGCTTCATAATTCAATATTTTCGTATAAAAATTATAAAAGGTCAGAAGATGAATAATTTTTTTAATGAATAAATAAAAAAAATTAAATTAAAATCAGCTATTAACGATTATGCATTATTATATGTTATCACAGATGTACCTGGCTCCTCTTTGATTGAAAAGATATTCGGTTTCTCCCTTTTCTGTCACAGAGATGACTATAGCGACTGCCCAAGGGAAACACAAAAAGTGGTCTTTGCAGACAGGTGGTCTTTGTAGACAGGTTACTTTAATGCATGTTTCAATGAGAAACCATTTTCAAGGGGGAAAATGTGGTGTTTGTAGATATGTGGTCACTAAAGCAGGTTTGACTGTACAATTATTTGAAGAAAAAAAAAACAGGGAGCTCACCAGAACATTGAGCAAGAGCTGCAATAAATGAATTTGCAAGATTAAGACAAGTGGGAAAACTCAAATGGGTGAATATGTTAATTCAATTCATTTTAAAAGCTCCAGTAATACATGAAGTCATGTTATTATGGGTGTCTTAAAGAAGAAGAAAAAAATCATTAAAATCATGCAATTTTCCATCCTAAACCATTTTCATCTAAAGTCAACGAACGGAGATGGTCACTTTGAACTGGATGTGATTTCATACGTCGATCCTCGGGGGGAGCTAGCGGACGGCTCATGTTGCGACCCGCCATCGTCATCATCGTCATCGTCATCGGCCGATGGCATTCAAGAATGTGTCAACGAGTGTGATGTCGCCTTCCGTGCTTGCCTTACCAACTTCCAGCCGCGCACGACGTATGATGGACGATGTGTATTTGGTGAAGGTAGCACCGATGTCGTCGGTGGAAACACATTGTTGTCTATCGTCGATGGCGACATCGACACGAGATCCGCATCGGTAAATTCTACCCCACCTGCTGAGAAAGACACAACTATCAAGTTCCCGTTTGATTTTGCGTGGCCGGTACGTCTTCTTTCTTTGATGACATTCTGCCGACTTTTGATGCATTGATTATATCCCAGTGCTCAAAGTTATTAGTGAAAATCAAGGTTAAAGGTCAAAGACAAGAATCAAGATAATTTTTTTTTCTCCAGTTTTATTCTATTTTATTAATTTAACCGTCGCCATAACTTTGATAGAAGAAGATAAAGATATTGAAAGAAGTATAGTTTAGTATGAAATATTCTTAATGTCATTTTCAGTTAAACCATTCCTATTTGAAAGTAAAGACATAAACGAATGTTTCGCTCCAACTCACAAACTCCGTTTTTAAATCAATAGAATACCAAGCGTTTCTAATTTAATGAACAACACAAAACAATGACGAAAGATGATGTTATTTCACCTTATTTGTAGACAACATTCTCCCTGATCCTGGAGGCTCTGGATGTTGATGGAAATGGTGTTGAAAAGTGTAAGTATGAAAGAGTATTACGATATTCGGTAATGACTGTGTGCATGGATAGGAAAGGACTACTGCCATGTCGGGTGTATGAGGTGTCTTAGGAATAATACTTTAATGTATTGCTTTAGTCGCGGTGTTTGTTATTTGTTTGCTGAGACTCTTTTTCAAATATATATTATTTTTCATTTTATCCCTAAAAACAATTACTACTCATTATTTTCTTTGATAATGTAGCACAGAAACCACCATCTACCAAATCCTCATTACCATCGTCGTCGTCATCATCATCACCACAACAATCACATACACCAACAATGCCCTTTATTATACCGATGCCCATACCAGTAACAACAGAAACCGCTTCGTTAACAAATGCATTTGAAACAACCACGTCCACGTTGGGGTCTCGAAACGTGACCTTCCAGTTGATCGAACGCGCCTACCACTCCGGCATCCTGGTCCCCTCCTCGTCCTGGGTCGCTCTTCGTCACGACGGCGCCACGGCCACCGTGCTCTACCGCGTCCGCCTCCAGTGCGACGACGACTTCTACGGGAAGACGTGTTTGAATTACTGCACGCCTCGCAATGACCAGTTCGGACATTACACGTGTGATGATGACGGCGGTAGGGTGTGCGACCACGGTTGGACCGGGAGTCATTGTATGATATGTGAGTTATACGATATCAGACTCTTTAAAGGGATCCGGTATAACTTTGTCTCAGATTCCGAAACAAAATTCTGGATTTAGCTCATGCTGCAATGATAATTATAAACCTATAGGTCAGTCAGAAACCCCATGACGATCGCCTGTCTGATTATCAAGATATTTATGATTGGAATTACAAATTTGTTACAGTCTATTCGGGAAAACGAGTATGGTAAAACCGGTCACTCAAAGATTTTTCCTTTTTTGAGGCACTTCTTGATCATTTTGAAGCGCAATTTTTTAGGGCTTCAATATTACACCATATCACAGACACTGATAACACATAGGGCCGTGTATCTCAGATTTAATATTGTTAAACGATCCCTTTAAAGCCAATATACAATGAAGTAACTTTACAACATATTCAATTACTTTGCAATTATCATAAATCAAACGCATACGTCTAATTCTTAAAGTTCATAGAATCGTATTTGAATCTTAATTAAATATTCAGGTGAAATTCGCGGAGAAGTAAAATGAGGTACGAACGTGAAATAGACTGATGTCACAGTTCTTTCAAGAATTGAGTACGAAATCAAATTCACATTCACGTTTTCTTTTGCTAAGTTGTTTTGATTATGGTTAATTATACATTCACGCTGTCTACTATCACTGAAACCTAATCTATTTCATTTTTTCTATAGTCTTGTTTCACCCGAAATATAATAGAAAAATTGCTACGAAGTATGGTAACATGTAACCTAGAGTACAAAGAAATATATTTTAAAGATTAGTTGACTGAATGGACGTCTCACACTATTTTGTTGTATTCTTTGACAAAAAGCAATATGCAAGAAAGGATGTCACGCGACATACGGCTTCTGTGATTCTCCAGATGAATGCAGGTAAGCAATTTGTTTTGTTTTTCATCTGGGGAGTTAACAATACCTAATGTTGGAATTACTTGGACAATTAAAAAAGACCATGAAGATTGGCACTTATGGTTCTAATTGCTTAATTTCGACCTCCTTTTGTTTCCACCAAAAGAAGGATTTTTTTTTTTGAGGGGTGGTCTTGCTAATCTGTCTATTTCCTTTTTTAAAATTTTAATCCAATAGTGGATCATAATCGTTTGTTTCGTCATAATTTATTTTCACTAATATTTCAATATGTTGATAGAAATCTCTTCTAATGAATTAAAATGGGGCAAAAAGTCCACACAAATGAAATATTGATTCATTTTCTAGAATTGAAGTACAACGACACTGTAGAAACAATGGTTTCTCGATATTTAATAAAATGAAAATCTTGAGAAAATGTAAATTATTTATCGCAAGCACAACGCGAAAATCGATCTCAGTTCAGTAAACGAGAATGCCCTTTAGGCTTGTTCGATTGGGGGATTGTGCTAGCTGAGGCTACTGCCCTACTACCATGGTTAACGTTATTTGAATTATCATCTGATAACTTAATTTGGAAAAGATTAATATTAGATCTTCAGAGAAATTGGCTGTTAGTTTGCATGTCCTTTTACTAATTATATAATTGTGTTTATCGTTAGTCATTAAAACTGCAGTAAAATTTATGTTTTTTCTGTAAGTAGGTCACCTAATTGATAATCATTTCTTCATACGCTGATCCACTTGAGGAAAATTCGCCCCTCCTTTATTAAAATCCGCCAATCCTGGATCCATTTCAGTTTATCTTCATACCATTTTTCATCACATTTCATACTACACTGTAAATAAAGAATTTGTTCATTGGTAATTTTTACGTATTTTTTCCATGTAGAATTTACTTGAAAACATTAGTTTTGCCACTTACGCACTAAATTTAAGTCTTGCTAACTCACACTTTCAATTTAGTAGAACATACGTGGAATATTTAAGTAAAATCAAATACATAAGAACTTTAAGTAATTTCAGCTTGTATTAATTTAGTAATTTTAACTCAAAATCAGAAATTATACGTATTACTTAAACAATTTATGTTGATTATTCTTATCTTTTTAAAGTAAGGACCGATGAAGTGCGTAATAGAAATATTTACATAATTTATGAATATTCATTAAGACCAAATTAAACTCTTTTTTAAATAAAACAATTCTTTTTTGTGGTTGAATGAAAATTTAAGGACTTTAAAACATTTACTAATTCATTTAACATGGCTAAGCAAAGACAAGACAATTTTTTAATTGTTACCCAGTTCAAAACAAATCAAAACTTGATATTTCAGGAAATTGTCAACCAATTTTCCTTTTAAGATGCTACGATAAAATTTGGAGCCTTTCAATATGTGTCGAATTGAAGCGTATGTAATAGTTTGTGATGGTGGTTAGTGATTAATCTTAAGTAGAAGTAGTGAATGATTAGTGGATGTTACTTGTTAGATTAGATGGGTACGAAATCGTGCAATATGTAATCCTATCATAGTTTTTTTTTTAAATTATCTAAAATGATTACAATACTTAAAATATTTACGTTAATGTAACTCGATTTAACTGAGTAAAAATTTATTCAGCAAAATAAGTAAATTCTACTTAAGATGCCGTAATATAAGGTAATATTTACTTAATAAAAATAAGGCAATTCTTTTCCTCAATTTTATTGAGTTATTTCGACTATTATTTTTTTTACAGTGTATGTACGGTATATTGAAACAAATTTTCATAATTATATTTATATCTTGATATCAACATTGTATTATAATGCTCACATTGAAATCAATTTACAACTAATGATGCAAAATGGATAGAGTTTCATTTATCTGAAATATTGGATTTAACGATTCGAACTGCACGTCGTGTGCATGCCATCGATAATGTCCTCTACCTTGTTACGTGATTGGCTAATCCGTATTGATCACATGATCCAGGTGCCGTCATGGTTGGCAAGGTGAGCTTTGCGATCAATGCATGCCATACCCTGGATGCAAACATGGTGGTTGTGTATCGCCTTGGCAGTGTAACTGCGAGTACAAGTGGGGCGGACTCCTGTGCGATCAAGGTGAGTTGAATGAAAAACGTGCACAGTTATGACTCCTGCATGTGAACTTTTGACCTGTAATTTAGAGGCAATAAATCAATAAGACGATGGAACAATTTTGGATCATTCCTCGAAATAAGGAAATGTTTCTCACCTAATATAAGCCTACTCCACGCCTTCCATCTTTACGATAAGAAAAAAATGGGGGTTAGAAAGGGAAATAGTCGAGGTTGATTCCGAGAAGGACCTTGGTTATTCGCCATATCAAAATAATCAGAAGGGACCATGACAAATTATATTATTTCTTTTGTACTCATAAAAGATTAATTGAGTATGAAGATAAACGATATATACATGTATAATTGTGTGAATGAAAAATATCTTGGCCTGCGTGTTTATCGAGATTAATATAGCTTGCTGCGAAATGTTATTATGCTCCCCCTCAAACAAACAAAAAGAATAAAATAAGAAAGGTGTGGGAGAAAAAAGGGGACAACCGAAAGAAAGAAAAGAGATGGTTTCGAAAGCGGAGTTCCTGAATAGATAACATTGTATAATTTCAAGATTTTTTTTCCTTCTCAGTCGAAGTGGTTAACTGTTTGATTAAGAAGTTGGAAGCGCCGAGGAAGTCAAGTTATAAAATCAACAATGTTCGCGGGCCGGAGACCGCCATACCAACACCAATTCTTAGTAATTATCTCGCTTCATATTGATTGAGAAAATACAGCTGACACGATATGGGCTCATTTAAAGGGATTGTTCAAATAATTGGAAATGTGACTAAGTGCCATCCATGGTTTTTCGTCGAAATTAGACTTGATATACATAGTACAGTATTTTATACATGTATCAACATTGAGATTACTAAGCAAGTAATCATGAATCATATTTTCACACCCTCATTATTTAGATATATCAATTATGTTCCGTCTATGTGAGGGAGAAGTATTTAATATGACTATCACAATGATATAGATGACTTAATGTGAATATATCAGCAACTTGTCATGGTGATTGAGAGAGTCATTCATTATAAACTGATGTTCGAGCACGTACGCAGTGTATAGCGCAGAATATTAGAACAGTTTAAAAGGTAAAAAACAGATATTTAATTTCCTTGATATAAGTAGAACTTGAAAAGAAGGGAGATATTTTCAGTTAAGTAAAGAAATTATAGTTGTCAACTATAATGTTAAAGCCTCAAGGAAAATAGTAAATATCATGAATAAGTAAACAATCTCACGTCCTCAAGTAAACGTTTACAACACGATTAATTATACCGACAAGTAAGACACTCAAAGCGAAATTCTTTTTTAAAAAATCGTTTTAGTATGATTTTTAATTAAAGTACAACTGGATTAGATGTATAAAAATACAAGTTGAGTCTGTACTCACAGTCACAAGCTTGAGATATCATACAAATAAAAAAATTCAGCCAATCACAACTGCAGGTTAAGTCATTTGGGGTTATAATACTTTGTAACTATTTTGTTATTAGCCACCCGCTGAGCTTTTCAAGTTCAAGTTCAAGTTTTAATTCCACATGTGGTTCATAAAAAACAAACAAATTACATGGTACCAACATGCAAGTAAAAGGGGGAACAATGATAAGGAAATGAAAAGTGGGAGGCAGAGAATGAGAAAAAAATAGTAAAAACTGGAAAAAAAGAGATTACAAAGGACTGGATAGCCGCCAAAGCGCCGTTTCATATTCCACTATTGTGTTCGGCAGTAGACTCGCGTCAACTCTTACCCGTCAACCTAATCAATTTTAATTTGAAAGCGATTTCTCGATAGGGAGAAGCGATGAATGATTAACTAGACTTGTGTTAATCGATAGATTATTATACACTCGTGCCCACACGCGTTCATAATTAGACGCACGCTTCCTCGGATCAAGTGTAGGGTTCTATACATGCATGCAAAGTAGGGTTTATCTTCATGTATGTGTTTGTTTATTTTTTCCCAACCATTTAGAGGTTTAAATAAAAATAATTATTGGCTGTCTAATTTAGTTTAGTCATTATTTTGACTGGATTACTCGGCTTGTTAAGTATTTTCATGTCATGTTTGATATTTAAAATGGCAATATATTAGTTCGCTAATCGATGTGTTTCCAACTTTCCATCATTTTGAAGAACAAAATATTGAGTCGAAAAAAGATTCAAATCACTTTGACTTTCTTTGCGATACTTTTTACTACATAACCTTAATAAAATATTATCAACGCTTTGAAACGTGTAGATAATTTGGCATGTCACGAGTACAGTTCTATGTTCCATACATTACAAAGTGTCATGAAATTAGAGACATAATACAAATTAAATATCAATATTTCCCTTCATAATTTGGTTTGATCATAACTATGGTAGGGCTATCAAATTATAAATATCATCGGGTATACTATCTTTGATGTGGCCGGTTAGGAATAGGACAAAATACCTTGGACTTGTATATTAGGTAACACTCATGAAATGTTTGAGTTGCTGTAAACATGAAGCTTAAGGCGTATTGTGTATTCATGTCTTGTATTTATATATTTTTTCTCATTTTGATGCTATGGTATAGATTTGGACTTCTGTGGTAGCCATACTCCTTGTCAACACGATGCCATATGCATCAATATCAGACCCAATGAATATGCATGTAGATGCACAGATGGTTTTGAAGGACAAGACTGTGAGTTAGGTAAGAACCGATTAATATTGTGGTGTTTCTATTATCAACTTTCTATACCATGAGTTACACTAATAGCATTTTGCATTTCCTTCCGAAATCTTTCTTTTTGCGATTATAGACATTATACTATGCATAATATTATGGCTTTCATGTTTCTTTCCCCCCAAATCCCTATATGATTGACATGATAAATGTCTGTTTCGAAGTTTGAATGTTCTGAAACCGTCTCATTTACTTGTTGTTTTCCAAAAATCAATACTGACAATTTGTATAAACCCTAGCCTTTTACATTCATAAGATAAAATAACATGAATTGCATTTTTGTTGATACTCTTCGGTACCTTTCACGCAACGGATGACTGCTAACAAAATGGTTCCATTAATTGTGGTAAGACATAATTATGACCTTTAAATTATACATAATTACTGAGATATCTATTATTACCAGATAGTAAAAAAAACTTAACAATTTAGGCGATATTCACTTTCATGTCATACAATCAGTAATCCCAACTTCTAAAGTAAAAATCAATCATTTGTATTTTCTTCAGAGAGCCAGAAAGGCGTTATGTCCAGTACTTTAACACAGAGTTAGGCCCTTCTGGCTTTCAACAGACGTTTGTTTATGTTTGGTTATATAGCTCAGGGGGCGTGTTACTCGAATCCGTGCATGAATGACGGCCAGTGCGAGGAAGTCGACCACGGATTCGTCTGCTACTGTTCCCCAGGATGGACAGGGATAGCATGTAATTCCAGTAAGAAGGCGTCTTGAGATTTGTAAAGCATATAGTTTTCTAATTGTTGTATTCTTCACTGGCTGTGCATTTATCTATGTTAGTTATCTGGTTGGAGGCGTGTAGTACATCCAATGAATATTACAGTTTATTTTCACACACGAAATAACCATAGCATTTCAGTTTTTAGTCGATGATAAATTTTGCTTCACTCATACTGATGTAACAATGTTATATTGAGGTTTTGATAAGTAGTCATCATGGTCATGTGGGAGCAAAATCTCATTGTAAAACCTCAACTCCTCTCTTTATAATATATAAACATGTAAACATATACCCTTCTTAATTACTAATAACGTCGGTTTACTTTTCTTTCAATAATTATTTACATTTTGTAGATATTGACGATTGCCTTCATTCTCCGTGTTTGAATGGTGGCTCATGTTCAGACCTCGTAGATGGGTATGAATGTCATTGTACATCACAATGGCAAGGCCCTGTGTGTCAATATGGTAAGTGCGTTTTAAGCTGATAGTGTCATAATTTACACATGTAGATATGTTTTATTTTGTAATACTACAAAATGTTTTTTTCCCCTTTTCGTATTTCATTATAGCTTTGGCTTTCATTACACATAAAAGTACATCTATTGAATACGATGACATCACATCACTATTAAACTTACCATGAGTTTTGCATAATTTCTTTCCAATAGACCTAAAGAAAACAAACGGGGTTGTGAACTGTTTGCCGATATTTCATATTAAGTGTAGTCTGTATGTATCTTTTAATTGTATGTTGTAGAAAATATTTGTTTTTTGTTTTGTTTTACCTGACTGCTAAGAAAGCATGTGTATGCTTGTAAGTAAGCAACCAGGGGACCGAGGGCTTTAAGTCCTCTCCGAGAGACTTGGTAATATGGATGAATGCCTTACCAAAGGAAACTAGCGCATCGACTTGGTTTCGAACTCCGGATCCCCCGGTTACGACACCACTACTCTATCACTGCGTCATAAACTTAACTATTTATTGATTTGATATTCTTCTTTTTGTCTCGTCACTGAACAGATTCGAATGAATGCACAGGACAGCCATGTGTGCACGCCTTCCGATGTAGAAACCGATTCGGTGATTACTTGTGTGACTGTCAGCCCGGTTGGACAGGCAGAAACTGCGATGTCAGTGAGTACAAATTTGATTTGATTTGATTTGATTTATCTTTCTTTTTCTTTTTCTTTTGCATTTTTACAAATTTATAACAAACAAAACATTGCAAAATGTACACATTTCAAATGCATTAAGAATGTCAGATCTGCTTTACAGGGATAGAACGGTTTCTTTTCTTCCTTTTCAGTTTGCCGAGATAGATTCAGAAAAAGTTTTCATCAAGCACCCCCCCCCCCAAAAAAAAAAAAAAAAAAGGGTTCACAAATTTTTGATTTGTTCAGTTGGGACAAAGAAAAAAATAATTTCCCGATAGACTTTTGAATTGTGGAGGGGGTGATCCCTTCCAATACGCTCTCGCAATCTCCATGCGTGTCGTGGCAAATTCTTAAATCTTTCCATGAGGAAATATATCCAGTACTTGTATTTTAAGATTTCAAATTATATATTTGTTGGTTCTATTTTTTTATTTTTTATAATATAAACAAACAAAAAACACAAATAAGATGTTGACAATCTGAACATGATATTCAAGATCATATTTTTAATGTTGTTTAACCTCAACGATGTATCGTTAGTGTAGTGTGATGTGCTTAAAATATTATGTTATCTTCTTGTAGATGCTAACGACTGTTTAGGACATTGTTTGAATGGTGCAACATGCATGGTAAGTGGTTCAAATGAAATTAAGTTTTCCCTTTTATATCCCTTCTCCCTCTGTTAGAGGTCATTTTTATTTGTACTTTACAAGTAGGAGAGTCACTGATGTCTGAATATTTCTCAATAATTTTTTTTTATAGTTGAACTTGCATTCTTACTATATTTGAATGTATCATAAGGTAATGGTAACACACGAATTCTAAACACACACCCACATTAATGCACAATAACTAACAACAATAACAGCCAATCGATATATAGAGTATAAAAGGATAGCATTAGATGTGCGCTGATTTTACATGGTATTGCTCACGGGAAGACATTATAAATGTTCTTTTTTCTCCCATTAACGTGCATAATTATCGTTACTTAGGACCTGATTAACTCGTTCATCTGCGTTTGCCAACCGGGATACACTGGCATCGAATGCGAGACGAACGTGGATGAATGCAGCAGTGATCCTTGTATGCATGGAGGGAAGTGTACGGATCTCATTAATGGATACCAGTGTGAGTGCAAGCCAGGGTTCTCAGGAACACGCTGCCAGGTAATTCTGAAAACGTTTGAGATTATGAAGAGATTGAACAATATTAGTTGAAACAATGGTAATAGATGCCATCATCTAGAAAAACGTGTTGTTCTCTTTGGCTTTGGATAATTTTTTTGATAGACCGTTTAAGATCAATGTTATTGCTGAATGCTTCGAATTTAGAGAGATGTGCCAACATATTGAGAAACGGGATATACAGTATTTTCTAATGTTACCCAAATTCATGGTATGATAATATCGTTTTATAATCCGCTGGCCCACCCGGATGAAACACAGAGTCCCATTAATGTCTTGAATTATATCTCACTATTTTCAGTATGACGTGGACCTTTGCAACCCAAACCCTTGTGGGCATGGAGCAAACTGCTTTAATCTCTTTGGAGACTACTTCTGCGCCTGTCCAGAAAGCCACCAAGGAAAGAATTGCTCCGATGCAAAGACGTTGTGTAAAGGTTCACTCTGTCAGGGTAAAACTCTTTGAAATTAGTAAAAAAAAATAATTATCATGTGTTAGATTAGTACATTTAAGATTATACATTTAGGTTTAATGCGTATAGTGCAAAATCATAAAAAATGCTCAGAACAAATTAAATACTTCCCTTCTTCAGAAGGAATAAGCTAGAAACCAAGATCATCTCTAAAGCAGCGTCATCAGATCACATTCTAATTTCCAGTAACATATTTATCATTCAGATTAAACAGGAGTACAAAAGGCATCATTGATATGGTTTAACTATATGTGAACTGGTGAAAAGAGTTACAATTTTTTTTCTGTGAAAAGTTTCTGTGAAAAGTGTCCCAACTCGTAAATTTTTTCATACAATTTATCATACATTTGCAGTGATAGATAGTTGCACCGTGACAGCAGGGGCTACCAGTACCGGTGGACCGACCCAGCAACCATCGAACGTTTGTGGTCCTCATGGCGCCTGCATCAGTCTGGATAATAATGGAGGATTCTCCTGCATCTGTGACACAGGATACACCGGCCTGTATTGTCATGAACGTAAGGCTAAAGTGCGGTCATCCTTGAGCGATGATGTGTATATTCTATTGACAAAATGTTTAAAATGAAGTTGTGTTCATCGGTCATGGGTTAGGCATGTTTGGATATGTTTGGATATGCATGTAAATGCGGTGGTAGAGTGTGCGTGGCGGGAACTCTAACCCATCTGCATTCCTATCCTTTAGCCCTTTTTTCTCCTCATTTTACTCATTTTCTCGACTTCAATAATGATAATCATTTATCATTCAACAAGGTCGACAAACAAAATGAGAAGTATACATCTAACCCAACCCAAACAAATATATCAAATTTTGATTTTGTTCATACATTTCGTCCATACGTGGCCCCAAACATAATTCAACAAATCTGTAAGTAATAGTCCCAGGGAAGCATTTTTAAAACAGAAAAGTGGTGTATTTTGACCAATATACCCTGAAAGAAAACGAATATTTCATCAGTTGATACTATTTTCATCTCTCTATTTTTTGTTGTTGCAGGGATTGACTATTGCGAAAGTGACCCCTGTCAGAATGGAGGTACTTGTATCAACACTGTCTTGTCAATACAATGTGTCTGTACCCCAGGATGGGAGGGTCTCTTCTGTCACATCAGTGAGTATGGTCCAGGAGACTATGTAATTACAACAGGTCCATAAAGAAAAGAAATGCCCCTCCATCACGAGTGTGTGGTCGTTAAAACAGAAGTTAGAATGGTTAGATTTGTATTGCTTTTAGAGTGTGGAATACAATATTCTGCATGGATTACACCTTCAACAAAATTCACACGGAATATATCAACAAAAGTTCACCTCCTTGAGTCTTTCGTGATATTATTCTTTCATTCTGATTCCTGCACACCAATTATATGTTGCAAAAGCTTTTGGCATAAAAGCTTCCTATCATAGTTTATAAAGGGAAGTTTCCACCACAGAAATTATCTAATTCACTTTCCTGAGTTGAATATTACGGTTATTCTACACATCTGCTCTATTCAGGTACTGATGAATGCTCTGCGACCCCGTGCAGAAACAACGGAACCTGTGTGGATCTTCATGCGGATTTTACATGCGTGTGCCCTAAACGATGGATGGGGAAAACTTGTAATTCACGTAAGTCATTCTCCCGTCCCTGAAATCTAAATTCTGAATGGAAACTTGTATAATTGAACGTTGCAAAATGTAATCACTTTATCATCTAATGATCTAAATATAACTATCTCTTTCTCCACAAGCAAGAAGCACTTAACATAGCAGCAAGGAATAATAATAATAATAAGAAGAATAATGGTGGATTCTTATATGGCGCACATGTCTGTCACGTTGTGACGCTCCTGGCGCTGCCCCGATTATTACCCTGGCTTTAACATTGCCCATTGAGTTGTTTTTATTTTTTTGTTTAACTGTTGTTGATGTTGTTGTTGTTGTAATATTGCTCATTCACTGTATTCCTTCGTTTCCACAGTTGAAAGCCATTGTGACTCGAGCACGTGTCGTAACAATGGAGTATGTGAAGACGCCGGTCAATCATTCATGTGTCTCTGCCCACCAGCATGGGAAGGAATATCTTGTCGGATAGGTAGGAGAATATTTTCGAACTGAAATTCTTCATATGAACTAAACTGAATATAACCAGCGTATGAACTAAGTCTATATGACTATTATTTACCTGAAGTAATGATGTAGAAAAGACGAAACATAGAATTGTCTAAGAAGTATCGAAATAATTCTGCTCTTTAGAGGGGTTCCTTTTTGCAATAATTTGTGCATGATATCATGCCATTAAATATGCCAAATTGTACTAATCAAGTTTATATTTCATAACTTTCTACATTGAATATCGTCTTTATTTCAGACTATAATGACCCGGTAACAGGATGTCGAAACTTAAGATAATCGTTTTTCGTTATGACTTTTGGCGGTCATTTAGCGTTGCGAAGTTGTGTGACTTATGTCAAGAGCCACCACCACCACTATCTCAAGTTATTGGTAGTCGCTACTCGTTTTTATCATTTCTTATCCATCGCTTCTGTGTAGATTTTTACTTTAGAACTTGAATTGTTTGTAAAGTTGAAATAGAGACAGACTCGAATTACAAAATATCGTAGGTTGGCTGGTAAAAAGCCATATTAACTTTCCTTTCCATAAACTTTTCAGCTATCCAGGACAGATGCACTGGTAGTCCATGCGAAAACGGGGCGACATGTATTCCAAGTGGAGAATCGTATACGTGTATCTGCAAAGATGGTTTTGAAGGAGTAAATTGTGAGAAAAGTAAGTCACGTAATAACTTACCTTTCGGCTATTTCTCTTTTCGCTCATTTTTGGTTCTCCCCTGAAATAATTGTCATGATATTTAGCACCGAGAATTATGCCATGATAATCCCCTTTCATCGTATCATCTAAAGATATCAGTTGTGCTTAAAACGTTGATGAGGTTTAAAGAAGTAATTGCCCATTGCTAATAAATCACGATCATTTCTTGCAAAGAAACAAATATTCTTTAAGAAAACTATGCCATCCTTGCTACTCATCTATGTTATATGAAGTGTTAGTCACTTCTGTTCATTATGTTGATGGTTGCTTTCTAATGCCTGCCTTAATGGAGAGATTTGTGCGAATGGCATCAATCGGTTTCTTGTCATTCTCTTTAGTGTAACTGAGTCGTTTTTCTTTAACCTTGTCATCACGATAGATGTGGATGACTGTCGCCTAAACCCCTGCCATAATGGAGGAAAGTGTGTGGATGGTATCAACTGGTTTCTCTGTCAGTGTGCAGATGGATTCGCAGGACCTAGCTGCAGAATAAGTAAGTCATGGGTTCGCATATATAGAGGGATCATCTATAACTTTCAAAAAAGAATATATACGTTTCTCGTTTGTTTAAAAAAAAGTACTGTGTGAAACAGCGAATGTTTTATTTTTGTTTGTTAACGCTATAACATAGCCATTTCAGTTTATTCAACACATAATGACATACATGATGTAATTTTGCAATAGGTGTTTAATGCTCTCTCTATATATGATAACATTTTTTTTCCAGATATCAATGAATGTCTTTCAAGCCCATGTGCTTATGGCAGTACGTGTGTGGATGGTATGGCATCATACACATGTCACTGTCCACTAGGAAGGAACGGAACAACCTGCTCACAAGGTCGGTAAACAAATGAAGCAGTTTACAAAACTTATTGTCCTTATTTATTTGTTATCCTCTCTTACTTAATTTATTCAATTTTAATTTATTCAATTTTAATACGATAGTCATGTTAGTCATTTTAGTGTTCCAGTTATTAACAAGGAGAGCTTCTTGCTCTACTAATGAGCAATCGCGCCTCATCAAAATTAATGTTTATCAGGAATTTAAATCACATGATAAAATTTGAAGCTGGGTTGTCGGGAGATGCTGTTTGTCAATTGAATGTTCGCAGTGAATGCGGGCCAAATTACATCAATATCTTTCCTATTGTTCTTCAGAACTCCTTGATTGTATTGATATATTATATTTTCACTATTCTCTAGTAATTGGTTACGACCCCATGCCGAGATCGTGTCAGTCTGGTCGACATCTTCGTGTTCATGACGAGACCTGGCAGCAGGACTGTAACCGATGTCGCTGTGATGATGGGCACATCGTCTGCTCGAAGGTTTGTTTGTCTGCTGTTTGTTAAAAAAGTAGTCATCGTTTGATTGACAATAATTCCTAGTCGTAAAGCCGAGGATTTCAACTTCAAATCATGAGTAGCATAAGTTTAGAGACACAAATATTCGAAACCCACTAAAGCCAATGAAAAGAAAGGAAAAGATTATCCTTCCCTTGTAGACCGATAGCCTCTTAAATTTTGCTCTGTTTGGTCAAAGATATCTTTTCGCAGTTGAAATTAAAAACCAGCAATTGATCAAGTGCATAACAGGCGACTAGGTGACGTCTCCTCGATGAAAGCTGCGTTCTTGCTGTAAAAGTAAACATATTCAAATGGCATGTATGTACGACTTCCTCTCCAGCAACGACTGAATTTAAAAATATATAGCAAATCATTAGTTCTAAAAATGGCCATATCAATCCTTTTTGTTTTATGTCTTGTCAGATATGGTGTGGTCCATCGTCGTGTCTAGCTGTCGCAGATGAAACCTTCAGCATGTACGAGCCCGACGACCAATCTGTTTTTAGCTGCTCTCAAGGTTTCTTTTGTCGGCCTATACAAGAACATGAGTGTTTTACGCCTCCTTGTCATCCGTGGGGAGTCTGCGAAAAGACGGCATCCGAAGCAAGTTCGGATGGTTACAGACAAGAACATGGATACCTAACGGGACGGGTTGATAATCTAAAAGATGGAAGAGACTTATCTTTGTCGGTAGACCATACAGGCATGATTGGTTGCGAATCTGGCGGGAACAATGATTTATCTGGAACTTGTATCCGTCTCTTACTGACGTTCGACTTGTGGATAATGCCTGTGGTACAATAATTATCTTTTTCTGGTTTTAATTATTTCCCTGATATGTAATCTAAGACTATGGCATGTCAACTAAACCCTACAAAGTGAAAACATGAGTTACACAATTAATTATTGCTATGAAAAAGTTTATCCATGATCTTATGACTATATTATAATTTGATTTTCATTTATTTCACTATGTTTCGTTTCAAACTTTACGCTGTACTTGCATCTTTTGTATAAGCAAACTGACTTTTGCCTATAAAAGCAAGAAGCTGAGAAAACAGTTTCAAAATTGAGCAATTTCTTGATATATCTTCCAATATCCACCAGGGGATGACTGTTGAGGCTGTTTGCAATGATATCAGACAGCTACCACATATACACGATGCTGCCCAGGATGCCGCCATATTCATCATCTGCCGAAAGGCTCCTCAAGAAACCGATACTATCGATTTGACGGTGGTAAGTTGTCTGCTGAGTGTAAAGAAGAAACTGTAAAAGAGGGGAACGAGGGAGAGGGTGCGGGTGAGAGGGGGTGGGGGATCGGACAACCCAATTGACATATCAGATTAAACCGAGTGCCTGGACCTCGTTGTTTGGTACTGGGCTTATTTTTAGCATCTCCGCATCTACAAAGAATTCATGTGCACTCGCATTGAGTTTTTGTGTGTGTTATCATTAGTATAAAAAAATCATCATCATCATCATCATCATTACCATTGCTTTTCATCTTAATGTTTGCATTTGTTTAAAATTTTAAAATGTTTTTGTCCGATTTAAAGCTTTTAATCCCCTCATCATTATTTTGCCAGTCGACAGACGGGAATGCCAATGCGATCACGGCAAATAACGTCAGCCAGGCTTTGATTTCGGGTCTCCAGGGTCGATCAGGAAACAGTCCCGTGGTTCTTAACGCAATCACCAGCATTCAACAAATGTCACCTTCGTTAGTAGTTAGCGCCAGATTTAATGCCAGTAAGTATATTACTATTCATTATTGGCACCCCCATCGGGCAATTACTTAAGATTAAAAAAACAAAAGTTTGGGAGCTTCTTATGAAAATCAAAGAAATCAAATAATACAACACGAGATAAACATGAGGTACCTTTCCAGAAGAAACTGCTGAAGGGGAAGGGAAGAATTGAATATCCGCTTTTTATCTGCAATTTTTGTACGGCAAATTTTAATCCAGCCACGCCTCCCATAAAAATTAACCAAGTTAGATACAAATTTTCCACTATCAATTAATTTAGTGTTTAAATTTAGCATATTTCACCGACAAAAAGATTAAATTGTTAATAAATTGTCTTAATGAAATTAGAAGAATTCATTGTTTTCATTCAAGATTTAATGGCTTCCACTATAGATAACGTCTTGATTTTCTTATTTTCTTGTTTTGCATGTGATGAAGGATTTCTTATCCTTGCGTACATGGTTGTTTTAGTAGCGATCTCACTCTTCGGCTGCACTGTAATCGCATTCGGTCGTCGACGTCACGGCTGTCTCAACTCGCAGCCACCGCCCCCTCCGCCGTCCTTACCACTTCACGTCCTTACGGGGAGCGATCAGGGCATCGCTGAATCAGCGACTACCATCACCACCATCACCACCACCATGCACCAAGCCCTCAATGATTACATCATCGACGAAAACAAGACGTCAGATAAATCATCGACATCGAGGACGTCCAGTTCGTTTAGGGATGACGTCCATCATTACGAGAACGACGCTAGAAGGAATCAGCCTACATCAACCGGCTATTTGGTGCCTGATTTTGAACGGTTGAACCATTCGAATAAGGGATCAAATAGAAGAGTAGCAAGGAGGCCTAGATCTAGATCGGAGAAGGAGCCAACTTGAATCAACGACATTTTAAAAGATGGACTTGTCAAGCAAGACATTTTTACATTCAGAGATATACTGGACGCGAAGAAGAAGCCGTCACTACACCACTAGATATCACACAAGGAATAAGCGTCCATTGAGATCAAAACCATCAGGTCTTTCAACAATCCAACAGTTTATTGAAGGCTGATGACGTTCATGTATTATATCTATACTCAGAGTCATAATTTATTGCATAATGTAATTGGTGATATCACTTCAATAAGAATAGATCGCCTGTATACAGTTTACTTTTGCGAATTAAAAAATTACCCCTTTAAATAATCAAAAGCGCCATTTGTCCTTACTCCAATACGAATTTATGACAGCATGACATCGAGGCCTTCAGTAATATCAGTATGAATGAGCTAAAAATTGGTTGCACTATAATTATAATCATGATCAAATCTTTCGGAGCTACCATGACCTTTAAATTTGTAACCTCTATTTGTAAAATATTGACTTGTATCCATAATTCGTAGTGCATTTATTTATTATTCAATCCCTCGCAGCAGCACGCTTTCACATCAAAATAATGTCTAAACTTGCGTCCTCGTCATCGAAAAGTGTTTTTGATTATAAAAAAAAAAATATCTTGAGAGGCGAAACAAAGTTCCCCCTTTTTTTTTTTTAGAAAGGTCTGTTTTTCAACTAACATATTTTTCTCTAGATTTTCACTGATATCATTTATATTATTATTTTAGTGCTTCTACATCTAATCGCAAACAAATTAAATCGAAATCATCATTGCAAATAAATGGCGGTTATGCAGCCGACACTAGACTTTGAATGGAGCCTATTTAGAAATGTAAAACTGTTTAATTGGTATTGTGAATCACAAACCTTTTGCAAATGAAAGAAATGCCAGTCAACCGTTTTGATGTCGTTAGTGACATTAGTCCCGGCTTTTAGTTGCTGCATCTCAACTTTATTTGAAAAAGAAAATTTCAGTAAATTACTTATATCAATATCCTAGATAATTGAATAAATCCCGCAAATATTTTACGTGTATATTGCCTCAACCGACACAAACAGGCATATCAATTTGAAGATCTATTATAACAACCCTGAATATATGCCGGTATAGACAAGCCATCTCTAAATTTTACTCTCACCGTACCTTAGCGTCTTTGGCACAATCGATGACATGTCTATTGAAAATAAGTATAATAGAAAGTACGTTATTTGTATGAATCAGTATTTTGTTATGAAAAGTTTGTACATACATTGCCATTGAATAAAATGTAAAAATTCCAATTGTTTGTGTTTTATGAAATCCACTCTTCCTATTTGTATGTTGCTAATCCATAATGGTGATTGAATAGAAGAAAAGGAACATGATGTTAATGTTGCTTAACATAGCATCAACAATTCACTCGCACTCACGAAATGATAATTCAAATAATTAGAGATAAACTAGGCATACCATTAGGTATCAGAAGAAGTATTTCTGTGAATGGCAGACACATTGGAGAGAAGGAGTAAAGAAAGGATGTGTGTGTGAGAGAGAGAGAGAGAGAGAGAGAGAAAGAGAGAGAGAAAGAGAAAGAGAGAGAGAGAGAGAGAGAGAGAGAGAGAGAGAGAAAAGGGGGGGGGATGTATTATATGGAAGGGGGTATGGAGGACGGATGGGAAAGAGAAGTAAAAAGTAAAAGATTGACATTTGGATGTTAAAATAATCTTGCATTAGGTGTGTATATTCGTGAAAATCAAACGAGCAAAACGGCCAACAATGAACATAGGAAGAAAGAAATAGATGCCGTCGAAACAACAGCTAGGCATAGAACATATGGTTCTATTCATTTATTCTTTAAAAATCGAAACGATTTGATTTCATTGAATTCCAATTTAAGCCTGATGATCGTGTTCTTTTCCCAATGAAGTAATCTATGGCTCGACATTAACAGGCGCCGGAAATTTAATTTCGGACCCCCCCCCCCCCCGCCCCCGCCCCGCCCCCTAAAATTCCGGACCCCTTCAAAATACAGAGCCTTGAATAATCTTTATAGAGATATTTTTCTCATGTTCGGACGTGCGTTGCTTGGGCAGCTCTTCTGAAAATATTATTCTGTTCATTTGGTCTAGCGCCATCTGATGTTGAAAAAGTTTCAAGGAAAGCAAAAGTACTTCGTGGGCATCGGTATGTAGTAGGAATATATGGGGGATATCAACTGATCATCATAATTATATGTCATTTCGCTTGCGTTATTAAATTATCCTTTTATAAGCCTTTAAAAGAAAATTGGCCTGTATGCCAGTAAGTAAATACAATGTTTGAGGCGTTCGTTTTGCATTATTTGTTAGGGGTACGATTTCACTCTCGTAATGGCACATCAAAGTCGTTGACACAGTCCGAAGTCGGCAAAATCATGACGCTTCAATTTAGAACGGATAGACCTCAGATCAGTGCATAATACACCAGATGAAACTCAAGAACAATTCATGACTAACCATACGAAGAAGCCTAAATGCATTGGAAATGGAATGATCACTGCAGGACACAGGGGCGGCATTCGATCCATGAATGCCCCCCCCCCCCCCCCCCCGACGGAGCATGACTCGCCTCCACTGCACATGACGAAACGAGATTTTGGCCTCAGGAAAAGAAGAAAGAAAAGAAAAGAAAAGAGAAAGGAAAAGACAGGAAAATAGAAAATCAAAGAAAAAATTGAAAACAAAAGAAATAAACACAAAACAAAACAAAACAAAACCAACTCGAAACCTATAGAATAATTAATGAAAATAATATCAAGTATAAGAGGTTTTGCAAGTCACATGCCTTAATATATATATATGAACTTATAGGCAAATATCTTAGTAGGTAGGGGTAGGAGAGTTGGGGTTGGGAGGGGGTCATTGGCAGGACTTCCTAGAAAGGGAAAGACTTGGCTCTGGTTAGTCAATTTGAAATAAAATTATGAAGATATCGCTATATAATGTATCTATCTATTTAGGAACAACATTCTGATTTTTTTTTAAAATGTAATAAAATGAAGTATATATATTTTTTTGAGAATGCAGTAAATTGCACACGCTAAAATACCGGTCACGCTTCCCAGAGGATTCCACCCCCGAATTACCAAGGCCAGGAGGGGGGGGGGGGGGGGGGGGGGGGGGGGTGTCCGGGAGGCCTATGAAGGTGCATTGGCTTATCATGAGAGATGTTATCATGGTACATTTAATATTCAAAATGCAAAAATGGGCCGGGCTGCCCTGAAACCACTTAGCTGCCATATAATACCAGTTGGTAACAAAGATAATTATATCTGTAATCAGTCAAATTGTCGGACTACCACATTAAAATACCGTTATTAAAACTATTCCAAAACTGTTGATCTCTTATGTTCCAAAACGAAACAGATGCACTCATTTTTCAAGAATTTGAGTGTAAAATATCCCATCGATTCTTAACGTTTGGTCAGATTCGAAAATAAAAGGGAGTGAGGATCGGGGCATAGGAGATAAAGGGGAAACCCCGTCCAATAACTTGGGACACGATGACCGAAAGAGCGAGCTCGCATGCCAGAGACTATTCTCCCAGCATGCAATGCGCCTATCTCGGCCATTTTGCTGTAACTTTCTACGTCTTCTGTCTTCCTGCTTTTCCGTACAGAGCTAAAGAGGCGAATAATTGGCCATTTATAATTTCGTCTTACAGCTCTTCGAAATGTCCGATGAGGCCGGATAGATTTTGGCAGAACTGGTTGGACTATGTTAATTACCGTTCGGTTACTTTGGAAGTATGTTCATTTTTGTTTCTTATGTTATGTGGACTTTAAAGCCAGAAGTAGGTCTATGTTTATGGGCAGGGCAACCCTCGCCCTCGGCGCCCGTGCAGCCATACAGACGTGTATGGCTTCAATCATACAGATGCGCTCGAGCTATGACTCGTACCGAGCTGTGTGTGAGCTGTGAATATGAATGTCAGATGTGCCGGTATATGTGCTGTTATTGTTAATGGCATGTTTATTGCGGTAATATGCTGTAACTAAATTGTGACATTCATCTAACTTTTAGATTTGATTTGCAGATCTGTCCCTGTAGTTTTAAAGTTTTATTTTGTCTTGTAGTTGTATTAATTGTAATCTTGCTAATTATTGCATTGGTGAATTGAGGATGGGTCCGTGCAGTTTGGGTGAAGTACAACTACAAGAAGAGTTGATTCTTGAATTTTAAAGTGGGAAAGTTGTGAATGTGATTTTTGGCAAGTTTGGGGGGATTTGATCTTGATCTAGTGATCCAGCATCATCAAATTTTGAGTAAATGATGAGGTTTAGATTCTAGATCTGCTATTCACTGATTCCCTCTAGATCTAGGCTACTCTCTAACTCTAACTCGAGTCCAGGGAGCTCCGACGCCAACGACGCCAAAGGCCGCGGAGCTCCAAATGCGAAATTTGAAACAAAAATCAAACAGCGGTTGTGGCAATATTTTTCCTGAAGTGTGTACAAATTCTGACTTAGAATCTACAGTGTTTTCGACTCCTTTGGGCATGTTGCAGATCGCACTACACTTGAAATCATATTTTGAAGAAGTCTGCGATGGGAAAAGGGGTGATTCCTCGTCCTAAACTGATCCGTTGGATCGTCGATCCAACATGGAGAAGAGAAAGTATGCATGCACGGTAGCGGTGCAGCAAATATGAATATTCATGCTATAGAGCGCCGTTCGCTCGAAAATGCTGAATATGCACGACTCAAAACAACAGAGCAGTGTTGTACAACCTCGCATCTGGAGCTGTGACGCCTTTGGCGTCGGCGTCGGAGCTCCCTGGAGTTACCTACTCTCTAGATCTAGACCATTTGCACACTGAAAAATTTTCTAAAAAAACTTTGAGAGTGCAAGTTATAACAGTGTAGGGACTGAAAAGTGATTTAGAATTTGTGGACCCCTCCCAACCAGTTTAGCCGTACAGATAAGGGCTGGATGATTAATGAAATGTGATAATGATATCACTCGGCCTTACTTTGCATGCATGCTTCTGCCTGTGGAGAGCCATGCAAATTTGCAAAACACAAATGTGAATGTAACCACACATTCCTACACACAGTGAACCTTGCAAACTGTGTACCTTCAGGAGTTGCTTGAGATGGAGGAGTCTTCTTTTTTGTTTTTACTCCTGCACAGTTGCACACTTTGAAATTGGTCAAGACTTTAACCTAAAAAATAAAACAATTCTTACTGAAATGAGAAGCTTCGCTTACCATATACCGTACGCATATTCCTTGTGATAATGACCTGACAGAAGATTTACATGACATAAATGTTGACCCTTGCTGAGAGTTTGCAATATCAGCTGGCAATGTGTGTAATTTACAAAAAAAGGCTCATTTCGCGTTGCAAAGTTATGACAGTAGCAATTAGTTTAGTGTAAATAGGCGTGCAGGTAGTTTGCTGAATTCAGCAACACTCCAAAATTATGATTGAAAACTAGTTTGATGTAAAGTATTAATGTTATTTCAAACTTCAGTGCATTTGTATTGTTACATAGGATACATGTTAGTCCAAGGCATATGATGCTGGCACTTGATGTAAATGACTTTCTGTCTACAATGTATGTCTTTGGTGATCATTAAAAAAGTATTCATGAAGAAGACCAGTTGTTATTTTACTAAAAACATGGATTTGTAGAAAATAATGTTCTTTGAACTTTGTGACCTTTGTCTGATATCAAATAAACCAAGTGAAAAAAGGTTATGCACTACATGTACAGAAGACCTTATCATTCAACTGATCTGCAGAAATCCCTTTTGCAAACATGTAAGTGTAGGCAAACGTGTCATTGATAATTTTAATCCTTTGTATGCATTGTTTGGATATTCTATGCTGAATTGGATACATGTGTCTTTTTCTTACCTGCCTGAATATACATGTACACATGTTTGATGTGAATGTGACTTACGGAGTTGTGGTAGACATGAAATCACCAAGAAGAAGGTTATTAATAATGGAACAAACTATGTAGCACCAGGGAGTTAAGTTGTCTAGACAATGGTAAATTACTGTGATGAAAATAAAACTATATGTTTAATTCTTTTTTTTTTCTTCTTTAAACGGGTCTGAATATTGAATATCAATAGGGTCTGTAACTCTGAAAATTTGGGGCCATGGCCCATTGGCCCTTATAGTGTCCGGCCCCTGGCTAGGTTTTATTTAGCCTTTGTCTTTTCAACACTTAAAGAAAAAACAGTTTGACAGGTATGTACTTCATTTTTACCACAACCTAAGTTTCACTGTAATTGGCATCATTTCTTGCATACAATTAAATGTTTTTAGTAAAACTTATCCTTTTGTTCTTGTCTCAAATTATTGTTCTGGATAGGAAAGTAACAAGTGTCCAGCCCTGATTGGTGCACGCATCTACTCCCAGTCTGACTGAACTTTGCTCGGTGGCTGGAGGAGGAGTGGGTATAGTGCTGTCACCATGTCTAATCATGCAGAGGCCAGATTGAAGCATCTGGAGAAGCTGTATCTGAACGGAGTGCCACAGAGCAGTGGGGCTACCCTGAGCTTGGAAAGTTTACTGGATGCACTTGTCCTGCTGCATGACGAATGCCATGCCTCCACCCTACGCAGAGAGAAGAGTGTCACAAACTTCTTAGAATGGGGTAAGCAGTCATCTACATGTATATTTTTGTTAAATTAACCCATTGACCACTGAATTCTCTCATCCCCCAGGCTCAATACAGGAATCATCTGGTTTTAGTAGGCGATGAGTTGGAGAGATATCCAAACTGGATAACAAGTTGCTATGAAGAAAAGGAGGAAAATCACAAAATCATAGCAAGGTTGAATAAAATTTGAGAACAAGAAAAAGTAATTTTCTAAAGCCTAAGTTGCTGCACCTAATGTAAGCTTAAAAACAAATCAGCAAACTGATAATGTCACTGTGATGTATTATTAGAGAGCTGTTGCAGTTGCTCTACTGACAAAATGACTAAGATGTCAGTCCCTCCCCTTTAAAAGTATTTTAACAAGAGGATATCCCTGAGTGAAAGTTTCTGTATACATGTAGGACAGAAAACAAATTTATCTTGATGTAGAGTACATTCAGTATGTCACATTTCAATTATGAATTTGCTAGTTTTAGATTCTAATATGTAGTTTCGGTAGCCTCTGCATTATTGATGACTTTCTTATTAATTGTCCAATAATTCAAACAACCCATGATTTTTTTACTTACACATTAGTCAAATTATTACAAAGGCAGGATTGTCCTTCCAGAGTTTTCTTACTCTAAAAAAACACCAGAAAAGTTGAGCGAGTTCTGTACAGAATGTCAGTAATTTTTGGGGGTCATTGGTCAATGATTAAGTTTGATTATTTTACTTACTCATTCAGGACTTTGTGTCAGAAGTGTATCAGTGACCGAGAGACTGACCCACTTTCAAATGTATTTTGACTGAATTCTGACATTCTTGTCCTTTATTTGATCTAACAATTCAAAACCCTTGGTTTTGCTGTAGTAGTATTATAATGCAAAATGGTGGATTCAATATAGAAATAAGGAATGCTGTTGTGTAAATATAAGGTAACCAGAAAAAAGAAAAGAACATGATATTGACTTTATCAATATACTCTTTCAATGAGTTGAAATATGTGCTATTCAGGAAGTAATCAAAAAAACATTAAATATTTGAATAAGGTCAAAACAACTTCCTATTTTCATAACTTTATCTATTAAGCCTGACTAGGTTATTTGTGGTATACTGATAAGCCCTTTTCACCAGCATGAGTTCCTTTCTATATATATATATATTCTAAAGTACTAAAACTACCCAAAATTGTGTGTGTGTGTGTGGGGGGGGGGGGGGTGATCTTGCATGGTTATGTTGCATAAAACTGGACATTGAATTTTAAATTGCTGCCAAGCTTTATAAATCCATTGTCAATAACAGTCATTTGGTGATGTTTGTTTTGTTTTGGTAGAGGTTAATTATTTGTATACCGATCAGTGTGGTGATGAAGTTTCCTGAGGTTGCCTTGACCACAAACTTGTGTACAGTTAATGTACCCTTGATATCTTAATGCCCTCCTGTATCTCATTAGCAGTTAGATTAGGTTTGTTTTGCCAACTTTTCCACAGCGAGTTAAACTACAAATTAACTTTTAAGATTGGAATGGTCTCTGTTTATCATTATGATTATTATTATTATTATTTTTTTTGTGGGGGGGGGGGGGGGGGGAGTGTTGGGCAAACGATATGTATCTAGATTTACTTATTGAGGTAGTGTTTCACTGAGACTATGAGACAAGAAAATGTTACAACTGAAGCATCATATCAGGAGCAAACTAAAACCCTATCATTGCATTCGCCATAGACTACTATGCAAACTAATTCGACTTACAATTTGGATAATTTAAAACCTATTTTTTAAGGTTATATCACTTATATGAGTCTAAAGACTCGTATAACTAATGGCTAGTGCATCTGCAAGTCAACAATACAGTGCTCCCTCAAAAGTTTCTTTTTGTGTGAGATGAGGGTATTAGAGTAGTAATTATACATGTGTCATGCGATTACTCATTGATCATGGCTGGGCCAGTCACTGGATCTCAAGAGGCCGGCTAGCTTGCCTGCTCTCCTCTCAAGTGCTTCATACATATTACATGCTGGCTACATATATGACAGCCAGTAAGGGAGCGGTTTGCCAGTCGATGACACCAGCTGTCCACAATTTTATCATACACAAGATGCACGTTTTGATGTAAAGTATTTGTGAAGCTGTACGTGTGTACATGTAGGATAAGCTGACATAAAGGTTCATGTATGTCAGAAAATGTTAAGGTTGAACAAAATTGTTTGAATCTGATTAGAAAAGTTTTCATTCAAATTCGTTTTGATGTTAATAATCTTGAAGAACAGATAGTGAGGCAAGTTATTGTTTTTCTCCTTAATCATATTGCAAATATGATATGAATGCTTTCAATGAACAGAGTGACATGCTTTTCAATCAAATTCTCTTAAATGTTACGCTTTCAATTTTGTGCATTTATAGGGAGGCCTACATGTACATTAATTTCATGAGAAAGGTGGCATTCAAAGTGACCAAATTCCATGTAATTGGAGAGCATTACCTTTGCATTTCCTATGCTATTAAATGCTTTCTAGAGAAAATGTCAAGATAAAAACCTGAGGATGAGTGACATTAAAATGTGAGAACCGAAATAAAGAGAGCAAGTCTGTTCAGTTCATTGTGCACAGGAAGGGGAAATCCCTGCCCTTCCATGTAGTTCAATAGGTTGTCCTATGCCTGATATACACAGAGAAATCTGATTCTAGGATCCCCAAATGGATTCTTGTACAGGTATGATCATGATGAAATAATCAAACAGGGCATATATTGATAGTAAAATTGTGAAAATACATTCTGGATGCAAGTATCACTATATTTTCTTCCCCTGAAGATCTAGGCCGAAACAGTAGCCAATTATCTGTTGACTTAGGCCTGCATAACATGTTCGAGGGCTTTTGTTGAAACATGATTAAGGAGAGCAGCTGGTGATGTAATCTATTTTTAGGACTGCCTTGATTTGTTTTAATTGTCAACCTGATTTCCTCCTAAGTTATGGCCTATAATATTTTAGTAGCTTCACTTCCCTTTTTATGCTGGCTTCACTGACCTTACTTACTTATGAGATTACAGTGGCTTATGAGGGAACAGCATGTCATTTTCTACCTGCCTATAATGGCAATGGTTCAAGCCAAAACAGTGTCATGTTTATTGTAATATTATAGAACTTTGAGCTGGTTTGATGATGACGATTAATATGCTATGAAAGACTAGATGTTAATTTTCTCTTTAAAAATAATATGATTTGATGGAAAGATGACCAATCACCCTAAATTTGTATGCTCTGAATCTTTGAGTTCCTTGGTGTATACTGGAAGTATCAGCTTCAAATAAAATCCCATTGACTACTGAAATCTCATATTCCCTATAGGTTTAATACAGGAGCCATCGGTTCTAGTAGGTAATAGGTTAAGTGATCAAAGCTATATATGTCATTCTTAAATGCAAGTTGAAGCATTTGAGGGTTGATCTCGTACATACTTGTGTACCTGTACTAGCTGCGCACAAATTATCTTTTTGAAATGATGTTCCCCTTTAACGTCAGGAACCATGTACATGTTTACTAATTATATTATTTGTGGCCTTAGACTACTTTTCTCAAGGAAAATTACGTCCAGACAGCTACATTATACTGCAGTTAGCAGCTGCTTACCTATCCATGTACAGTACAGTATGGAAGTGAAAGAAGTTAGCACCAGTAAATTGCTCTCCTGCTGGCCTCTAAATGCCAACTCCTCTAGATGAAATTAGAATGTTGAGAATGCATCACACTCAGGACTGTTGGAGCACTGTACAAGTTGAATTCATGCCATTTGGTACAGATTCTTGCACGATAAGCCTAAATAGATTAGCAGTTTTTGTAAGAGTATTTGTAATTTTACACTTATTTGTAAAAATGAGTCCAACAGTAATTTTCATACCTTGCCAAAAAAAATTCTTTATGTCTATTGGATCCCTATCAAATCTTGAGAATAGAAAGCCATCTATTTATAATGACATGGCGCTCGTTCTTCCTCTGTTTTGTCTCACAGTTCCTGTGTATCTACAGTATGCAATTGATTCCTGAATAAAGAAGACGATTAGTTAACAACGTGATATTTGTTGTTAATTATGATAAGATGTCAATAGGCAGTCTTTATCAGTATGGAATTACTGATTTCCAGCTTGTACACGTACATGAACACAAAAATATTCAGCTAAAAAATCTAAAAACATTAAAGTTAATTATCTGTTTATCCATACTACAGTGACATGCCATCCCTGAATATAAAATGATGCAGGCCTACCACATTGTAAATGGCCACGTTCATCTAAGATGAGTCATGAGCCGGCTTCATAAACTAGCAATTTGTCAATGTCTCGGTACATGTAGGGATGGAAAAGCATTTACTCCATGTCTTCATGTCTTCATGTCTTCATGTAGCTGCATAATAAGGAGGATAGAAAAGTATGGGAATGAATAAGTGTAGGCATTTAGGTTTATGTGCATGTTACAGTATTATGCTTCCATTTAGTCCTGTGTGCTGTTTAGTTACATGTAAAGCCTTCTAAATGATATTCATGGCTCCTTGTACCACACAGTGCCCTGTAAATGCTTTTACTTCTACTTTTCTAGTACAGTATTAACACTCCTTGACTAGTAGAATAACTGAACGTGATATAATATGAAGCCCTAAACACTTTCATGTATTACTTCAATAACGCAATTTGTTAATTTTATTGCTCTGTACATGTACATGTACATTCCGAAGTTTTATTAGTTGTGAGTAATTTCTTTGAAAAAATGTGGAAAATGGTAACCTTTTCTAATCTACTTTAATAAAATGTTGACTGGTACCTTTGTGCGCAAATGTAATCAAAGCCAAGGGATTAAATTTTATAAAGAATACAGTTGAGTTTGTACATAACGCAATGGTACATGTACTTGTTATTGCTCTGTAGGTCAACTTGTGTGTAACAGAAGATTTGTACATGTACATGTACATGTAGTTGTAACTCATATGAGAGGGAATCAAATAATATAGGAATATGTC